CATCTTCTATTACTGCACTAATATATATTTATATTTATATTATTTATTTATATATATTTATTTATTCTTCCTGCTGAATTGGCCCTTTTATCATCATCTAATATCTTTTTTAGCTAAAGTTTTTGTAAAGAACAAGACAAGAATGTCCATTCTTACTCCTTTTATTCAACATTGTTCTTAAAATTCTAGATAGCACAACTGGGTAAAAGAAAAAAATAAAAGGGATACAATTATGAAAGAAAGAAGTTAAACTATCCTTGTTTATAGAAAATATGATCCTATACGTAGAAGACCCTAAAGACTCTACCATAAGACTTCAAGAGCTGATAAATGAGTTCAACAATGTGACAGAATATAAAATTAACATTTAAAAAAACACTAGCTTTGTTATATACAAATAATAAATTAGCTGAGAAATCAGGAAAACAAGTCCATTAGGAATATCTTCAATAAAGTAAAATACCTAAGGATCAATCCATTTTATTTTTGGTACTGGGAATTGAACTCAGAGCCTCATGCTTGCCAAGCAGGTGCTGTTCCACTGAGCTATATCCCCAGTCCAGCTATGGATCAATCTAATCAAGGAGATGAAAGACCTCTACAGTAGAAATTTCAAAACACTGAAGAAACTGAAGAAGACACTAGAAGATGGAAAGATCTCCCATGCTCATGGATTGACAGAATTAATATTGTCATATTGGCCATATTACCAAAAGTGATCAACAGATTCAATGAATCCCCATGAAAATAGCAATGACATTCTTCACAAAACTAGAAAAAACAATCCTAAAATTCATATGAAAACAGAAAAAGCCCAGAATAGCCAAAGCACTAATAAAGAACATGGCTGAAAGCATCATACTACCTAATTTAAAATTGTACTACAAAGCCATAGTAACAAAAACAGCATGATACTGGCACAAAAACAGATGTGTAGATCAAAGGAAAAGAATAAAGGAAACAGAAACAAATCTTTGCAATAACAGCCATCTAATTCTAGACAAAAGAGCCAAAAATATAGAATGGCAAAAAAGAATGGCTTTTTAACTTTTTTTTTTGTATTGGGGATCGAACTTGGGTCCTTGCGTTTGCAAAATAGGCAGCAAAACCACTGAGCTAACTCGCCAGCCCTAAAATTCTTTCTTTCTTTTTTTTTAAATCCCTGGCCCCCTTTTTAACATATGGTTCTGGGAAAACTGGATATCCACTTGTAGAAGATTGAAGCTAAATCTCTATCACTCACTCTATACAAAAATCAATTCAAAATCAAAATTTTGAAACTGCTAGAAGAAAACATAGGGGAAACACTTGAAGCCATAAGCATAGGCAAAGACTTCCTGAATAAGACTCCAAAAGCGTAGGAAATAATAGCAAGAATCAACAAATGGAACCACAGCAAGGTAAATAAAATTGTCTTAGCTGGGGAAGTAGTGCAGTGGTACAACATTTATCTAGAATGCATGAGGCCCTGTGTTCAATCCCCAATATCAATAAATACACAAACAGACTTGCTCCATTTCATTACCTTTCCTCTTTTGTCAAAACTAGTTAACTATATTTTAGTATTTTTGGGCACTCTATTCTGTTTCACTAAGCTGTTTATATATTCTTTCACCAAACACACTGTCTTGATTATAGCAGTATAGTGAGTCTCACATTCAAGGAATATCAGGGTTTTTTCCATTACCATGTTGATTATGTATTAGTCATTCGTCCATCGATGGGACAAAATACACAACACCCGCAACTTAAAGGAGAAGAGGTTCTTTTGGGTCACAGTTCAAGAGCATTTGGTCCATAGCGGGCTGCTTCCAAGGCAGAAACAACATGGTGGAAAGGCATGGCAGAGGAGAGCTGCTCACCCCTTACAGCCAGGAAGGAATGAGGGGAGGGAAAGGAGGGAAGGAGAGGAGAGGAGAGTCAAGCCCAGGTGAGGTGAAGCCAGGTACCAGAGACAAAAATACCTAACAATTACAGTAAGTCTTTTACCTCTCCTTATAAACTTTAAAATTAATCTGTCAATATCTATACTTTTTTTCTTGGATTGGATTTGAGTTTCATTCAAAGTAGTATAGAAGAACTACCTTTGACTATATTGAGACTTCCCATCCACAAATGGAATAACTTTCTATTTATTTAAGTTTTTCTTTTTTTTCAATAGAATTTTGTAGCTTTCCTCATATAGATCTTGTACATATTTATTAGCTTTATACCTAAGTACTTTCATTATGGGGGTACTAATGTAAAAAGAACTGTGCTTTTCATTTCAAATTCCACTCACTGGTGATGCAGTGGTACCTTAGCTCTTGTTCTATTAACAGAGGTGTCTGGCAAATTTTGTTTTTGTTTGTAAACTCTGCATCAGGTGATGAACATGACTGTGGCCATCTTCTGCATAAACATGAACATAGCCATCTTTTCCAGAATCGTGGAATGCATTAAGTTCATGAACCAAGGAACCACTGTATCTAGAAAACTATGTGACTTTTGTATATTATCCTTGTATCCTGCAATCTTGCTATAATTGCTTATTAAATCCTGAAGGTTTTTTTCACTTCTTCCAGATTTTATATGAAGATAATCATGTTATCTGCAAATAGAGTTTCATTTCTTCCTTTCTAGTAATTAAACTTTTTATTTCACTTTCTTGTCTTACTAAATTAGGTAGGACTTACAGTATACTTTTGAAAAACCATGGTAAGAGGAAATCCTTGCATAGTTCCTGATCTCAGGAAAACTTATTTCTTATAATTAAGAGTTGAGTAACTGGATTGGATATTTCCTTTCTCTTAACATCAATTAGGTTCTGACAGAACCCCAAAAAGTAAGGCTCTGTCTGACTAGGTTTTTCCTCCCTCCCCTTGTTAGAAATGTAAGGAGATTTTCCCCAATATTTACTGTGAGAACCTGGTCAGGCTTCTGGAGGTTAAGCTCACAAATGTGTGGGAGTCCTTCATATGACAAGGATTTCCTGGCATTTTTAACTGTCATAATTGCTCACATCTACTTTCCAAAACTTAAATCAATTATAGTTTAAGTTTCCCTATCCTGGCACTGGTTCCCAGAGAAGCTTCTGTTCCAATATACTGTGATTTCCTGTATCTATCCATTTCTTTAATAATTTACCCTACTTCTCTACTGGATTTAAGAAAATATGTTGATTTTTTTTTCATTTGTTCAGCTTTTATTTGTTGTTAGGACAGAGTGGTGACCTCCAAACTCTTTACACCTAGAACCAGTAATCAGAACTCCTGATTTTTTTACCCAGTTGACCACACTGTTTTATGATTGCAGAAACTAATTTTATTGTATACTTAAAGTAACTTTTGATGAAGACATTATCATTGCAATTTTAGTTTTTTTCAGTCTTAGAGTAATTTTTTCATTTTTCTTTACTGCTTTTGTGTCTCATTGATTTTGTGTGTTGACATGTTTAGACTGTTTTTCTCATTTTCTCTCTGTGCATCTTCTGTAGGTAGTTTCTTTATGGTTGCCAGGAGCTTACATAAAACATCTTACAGTTATAATGTGTCTGAAGCTGATAACTACTTCAATCATATACAAAAACTGTAATCCCTACTAGCCTTTCACATTATCAATGTTAAAAATTACATGTTTTTATATTTTGCTTGCATTAATCTAGTTTTATAATTATTTATAATTCTTTTCTATTTTAAATTCTACACCAGAATTAAAAATAATTTATATACCATTATTATAAGATTACAGTATTCTTTGGCTATATATTTACCTTTACTAGTGGAATATAGTCCTGTATGCTTTTATATTGCTGTCTTGCATCTTTCTGTTTCAACTTGAGTGGCCTGTTTCAACAACTCTTTTAGTATTTCTTATAAGTCAACTCTACTGGTGGTTATTTCCCTCAGATTTCTTTATCTTGGAAAGTCTTTATTTCTCCTTTTTTTTTTTTTTTTTTTTTCTAGTACCGGGGATTGAATTTAGGACCTTGAGTTTGCAAGGCAGATGCAGTGCTGCTGAGCTAAATCCGCAGCCCTTCCTTTTTTTTTTTTTTTGGTACCGGAGATCAAAATCGGGATCTTATGCTTGTGAGGCAAGCAGTAGAACCACTGAACTAAACCCCTGACCCTCTCCTTCATTTTTGCAGGATAGTTTCACCAGGTATTGTATTCTTGTTTAGCGAAGTTTTTGGGTTTTTTTGTTGGGGTTTCTTTCTAGCATTTTGAATGTATCATCACACTGTCTTCTGGCTTATAAGGTTTCTGCTGAGAAATGCCCTGATAAAATTATGAAACCTCTGTGGTTTGTATGCGATGATTGCTTTTCTCCTGCTACATTCAAGATTCTTTTTTTTGTACCGGGGATTGAACTCGGGTCCTTGTGCTTGGAAGGCAGGCCACCGAACCACTGAGCTAAATCCCCGCCCCCCTCCTTTTTTAAAGATTCTTTTTGTTTTTAACATTTTGATTGTAATGTTTCTTATTGTGGATCTCTTTTGTTCACCTTAGAGTTCTCTGAGACTCTCTTAGTAGCATATTAATTTCCATCCTCAGATTTGGGAAGTTTTGGACCATTGTTCTTCAAATAAACTCTCTGCCCCTTTCCTCATTATTAAATTCTCATAATACATATGTTGATCCACTTGATAGTGTCCCATAAATTTCTTGGAATTTCTTCCCTCTTCTTTATTCTTTTTTTGCTTTTTGTTCCTCTGACCCAATAATTTCAAATTACCTGACTCTGAGTTTACAGATTATTTTGTTTAATCATCTGTTGTTTAAACCATCTACTGAATTTTTCAATTATTGCATTCTTCCATTTTAGAATTTTTTTTCCTTCAGAATCATACATATAAATCTTGGATCATGGTTAGCTTTAGGAGGGAAAATGGAATGGAGATATTCTATAAGGGACTATATCTATAGATATAGATATAGATATATATAATGTTTAATTTATGTAAGCACAAGGGTAGGAATAAAGCCTTTAGATTATAAGCCTCCAAATTATTTTTATATAGTTTGTCTCTGTTGATATTGTTGTTTTATTTATGCATCATTTTTCTGATTTTTCACAGACTAGATTCACACTGATCTTCAGTAATCAGCCCAGCTAGATTCAGGGTTGGAGTTTGGGACTCTCTGAATCTTTTTGAGGGGATGTGACTTTTCTAGGCTTTATGCTTTTGATTTCCCAAAGGTTTGCCAGCTTTTCTCAAGGCGCTCACAATTTCTTGCTCCCTCTGGTGTCTGTTTGCAGTACTGTACTGCAGTTTCTCAGACTAACCCGCAAGCCTGTTTCTTGTGTTCAGTGGCCACTAGGTAGGTACTCAAATGATGCTGACTTCCCATCAGTATCCTTAATCAAGCAAAACATATACCAGTCCCCTGAGCAACTCTCCAAAAATAAAAAAGGTAGAATACTGTACATCTGCTCTACTCTTATCTCTCCCTCCCAAGGGAGCAGCTACATTTGGGAGCCTGTCTACCATATATCGGGCCCTCGTAATACAGCAAGCTGCCCCACACCCTGGCTTTCAGTGGCTTCCCACAAACTCATATTATTCCATTTCCATTAATCTTTCAAGTTAAGCAAGAGAGGAACTAGTCCCTTGGGAAGTCCTCTGAAAAGCCAGAATATTGGATACATGGTCTAGTCTCTTTTTCCCTCAAGGGAGCATCTATGACCCAGGCTGAATTGTGCCAGCTTAGGGGAAAGGGCAGTCTTGTGTAAAGTGACTCTTCCTACCCATCCTACCCATTTCAATGCGGTTCCTATTGGCTCTATGTTTGCCCGCGGTACTGAAACGCCTTGATTCTGGAAGAACTCTAGAGTTCTTATAAAGGGATTGTTGAAGTTGTCTCTGTGGAGGCATATGGGCTGGGACTTCACATTCTATCTTGCTGACTCCATCACTTCCTATCTTTCTTATACTGTGATATTTCACAGTATAAATCTAAAACATTATCAATTGTAAAACACATCTCAGGTTTGGAGATGATAAAATATGTAAGAAAAAATTGTCTTTGATGACAGTAAGACAGCAACACCAACTGTAGTAAAATACACCAGTCTTGTTATGGAAGTCCAGGAAGAAGAGATATGGGCAGAAATGGGAGAAAGGAGAAGAGGAAGCCAGCGACATGTCATCGTGACCCCACCCCACCCCACAAGACTCTCAATCTCTACGAAAGGAGTCTAAATTTACAAAATTCTTGGTTCGATGTAATTTCTAACCTGTTGAGTTCTGTGACAGGGACAATGGAGACAAAATTTTAAAAGGTTTGAATAAACCACAAGAATAAATCAAGCAAGAAGAAACCATTGGATCAAAAATCCCAGAAACTGTATGGAGGGTCTCAATTTCTGTTGTATGGAAGTGACAAGACTGAGAATTGAGGCAGATGCAGCACCACCGAGCTAAATCCCCCAGCCAAGACCCTGAGACCTGAGGGCCCCAGCTGCCACCCGGTTTATACATACAGTATTGCCCCGATCATTTGACCCCCGTTAAGTCCATCCTTCACACTAGACTGAGTGTTCTTCCTGAAAGGTGAATGGTATCCTGTCACTCCTTTACTTTACAATTCTATCATCCACAATCTAAATCTCATCTGGCATTTAACACCCTTTATGACCTGGCCTATCTACCTTACCAGTCTCCTCTTCTGACAGGTTACTCTAACTACATCAAACATTTCATTGGTCCCTAAAACACTGAGTCTTCCTTTCCATCTGAAAAAACTTTCCACTTCTTTTTATCTAGTAAACACCTAATCATTCTTCAAGATCCCTTCAGGAGAGTGTGCTACATCCACCTGTGTTTCTCCAGCAATTTATTCAAGGGAGTTTCTCTTGCTGGTTTCCTTGCAAGGACCATGTATCATTTACTCCTGGCCCTCCTGACCCATACAGGCCAGATTAAGCTTTCTCCCAGGTACCTACAGCACCCTGGTTATGACTGTAATGTCATCTATCACTGCACTGCAACTTGTCAGTTTAATGTACTAGAGAATACAGGGTTGCACTGTCTTCACTGTCGATATTCCTAGTTACTGGAGGCTGGGGGTGTTGAAGGAGGAAGAAAAGAAAAAGACAAAAGGAGAGGTGGAAGGAAGGAAAAGAAAACAAGGAATGGAGAAAATGAAGGGCATTAACAAAAAAGGAAGTCAGAGAATGAATAAATGGGCTAATTAGGACTCAAAAAAAAAAAAAACAATCAAACAGAAACTTTAGCCTATAAGCTAAGTCTAAAACGGGCACATGAGATTGGCCAGGGATTCTTGTCCCACAATCAAAGCAAGTGCGTGAAACATTCATTAGTCCTGGGCCTGATTGGCAGCAGAAACTCCCTGAAAGCCAGGATAATCACACAAAGCTCCCTGGACTGGGGTCCAGCAGATCTGGCTTGATAGTGGGTATAATGAAGAGCTTGGTGTTGCAATTATTCTTATTTAAATCCCAACTCTACAAGTAAGCCAGGTAATTTATCCTCACAGAATCTTATATTGAAAATGGGGATACTACTACCTCAGAGAATAGTATGGAGATCAGAGATAGTAGGTATGTAATAACTAGCAGCAGAAGGCATTTGATACATGTGGTTTTTATTATTAGAATGTATGTCACTTAACATCTTAGATTAGGTTACTACGTTATTTTGTGGAGATTTTCAAGAAACAAGATAACATGTATAAAAGTGCTTTATAAACTATAAAGTGCCCTACAAATGTAAGATAATCATTTGGGACAGAGTCTTCTATAGTTAAAAAAACAAACAAAAAACCTTTGGGTAGAAGTAGGTTCAGTTCCAGGCCCTGCCATTTACTTACTCTATTTTGTGAGCAAGTCACTTTCTGTCAGCCTCTTTCCACATTCTTCTCAGGTGGTTTTCAAAATTCAATTCAGTGTAACTGAAAGCTCCTGGTACCTCCTTCCTGAATGAGTGGCTGGATACTCATCTGATAGGTCAAGTTGCAGGTGCTATTAGTTCATATTCTGGGAATTGGCTACAAATGAAGAGGGCCCCACACTATAAAGGACAAAACCCTAGACCAGTGGTGGCAAAAACTTGTGGCATATGCGCCATAATGGAGTTTATCTCTGAAAGCTCTAGAAGGTTTGCCATTACTTCCCTAGACTTGAGAAAGGTAGAAAGGAGTGTTTATTTGTTAGAGAAAAGCTGGGTTAATGCTAAATTTCATGTTTAAATTTTTTTTTTTTTAATCTGCCATGTGAAGACTAGACAGGAAATGGCTGCACTGGGACAGTCTCCCCAGCTCCCCAGCTATCCCAGTCTTAGGGACTGAATTATTGCTACTAACGGCAAACTCTCATTATATTCCTGAGAGTTCTCTCATCCTCTCCCTCAAACACTACTTCCTGCTACTATCATTTTTTTTAGCCACAGAAAAAGTACTTAATAAAGTTGAAATGGTTGTCATGCTTGGTACAGAGTTCCAGAGTGAATGTTCCAGGGCCATATCAAGAGATCACACTGGCTCCCACCTGCAGGCCAGCCTACTATGTGGCTCCTCCTTCAGAGGCCAACAAGGTGAATTCAGTGAAAAAGAGCATCCACTGGGAGGTTCAGCTTGAAACTGCTCCACTACATACCTGCTGTATGATTTAACCTTTCCTTACCTCTGTTTCCTCATCTTATACCCTTGGGGACTGTTATGACAATAAGATGAAAAATGTAAATGTAACCAGCAGAATCATAGAAACAGCAGCATAGTTAGATGTTTAATGGATGTTAGTCTTTTCCTTTCCCCCTTTTCCTCAAAGGCCTCAGGAACTCAGCCAACTTTCCTTTGCTTTTCAGAGTACCCAACCACCTAACTTTCTTGGAATTCATCTTCCTTCTAGAATGGCTGCACTGGGACAATCTCCCCAGCTCCCCACTTGTTTGGGGAAACAAGTACACAGGTCCTTTCATTGAAGGGTTTTACTGCTGATCATTCTAGGGAAACAGATGCAGGCTCAGGAGGGGATAACAGGTAAAAAATATGGGAGAGTGTGAGGTCACTGATCATGAATCCCTGAGGGCTTTCCTTTCATTCTTAAGGCAGGACCTCAAACCTCTTCTTAGACTAAGGAGGCCCCTCCCACTAGGAGGGCCACTCCTCTCAACCTAGACATCTAGAAGCACACTTGGGTTGGGGCATGGCAGGTGGAAACTAGTAGGCCTCTGTGGTGTGTCCTAAGCAGTCCAGACTATACAAAGGCCCTTCAGTGACACCGTCTTACAGGTATTCCCTTAAAGACCAGATGACTTCAGTCTTAATGATATGAACATGTTCTGAGACTACCCTATTTCTGTTACCCACCCCAAGGAGGTGAAGCTGAGACTGGATCTTCTGATTTTCCAAGACAAGTAACTGCCTGGGAGATGGCAAGGATTTTTACTTCTAGTCCTTTCTCGGGACTTCCTGGGGATCCTGGTTTCAGAGACAATAGGAAACCATTCTCTAAAGTGGGATGAAGGGTTTGACGTCAAGGTGCAGCAGCTGATGCCACAGATCTTCCTCCACTAGGGTGAATCTTTCACTCTGTCCCCCACTCTGTACCGGGGGCTCCTCTTCAGCTGGACTCTTTCCCAGACTGCTCACCCATGTGTGTTTTCTGGTGGCGGATAAGATTGGAGCTTCGAGAGAAGTGTTTCCCACACAGAGTGCAACGGTAGGGCTTCTCCCCTCTGTGGGTCCTCTGGTGCGCTCCAAAGTTGGAGATATCGCTGAAGGTCCGCCCACACTCAGCACACTCATAAGGCCTCTCACCCGTGTGGGTGCGGTGGTGCACACCAAAGCTGGAGCTGTTGCTGAAGCTCTTCCCGCACTCACAGCAGATGTAGGGTGCTGGCTCCAGGTGGGTCCGGTGATGCACAGCCAAAGTGGCACTCTGGCTGAAGCTCTTGCCACAGATGTCACAGCGGTACGGCCGCTTGCCCAGGTGATCTTGCTGGTGTGTGGTGAGGTCTGAGCGCCGCCGAAAGCTTTCCTGACACTTGGGACATTTGTAGTGCTTCTCTTCTAGGTGGATCCGCTCATGCCGGATGCGATTGGAGCTTCTTGAGAAGCTCTTGCCACATTCAGAACACTTGTAGGGCTTCTCGCCAGTGTGGATTCGCTGGTGTGTTCTCAGGTTGGAGGTATTGTTGAAGGTTTTGCCACACTGGGCACATATAAAGGGCTTCTCATCTGCCTCAGACTTTGGAAGAGCAGTGGGGTCCCCTGGCCCTCCTGCTGGGGCAATGACTTTCTGCCATGGCTTTTTTGGACATGTTCCTTGTGGCCCCTTCGATGGGCTTTCCTGCCCATGCTCCTTTTCCCCAAGTGGGATCCGAGAACCCTCTGAGCCATCCGCTCTCCAAGGTTTACCCCCTTCCCTTTCCTCAGGCAGGTGTGGTTCTTGACTCTGCTCCTTCTCACTGCCCATCTCTGAACCCTGAGAATGAACACAAATGTTCAACACCTTTATTTCTTGGGTCCAGCCAGAACATAAGAAATTTTTCATTCTGGTTGAAGGGATGTATAACTTCTCCCTTCTGGAATAATCTCAATTAACTGGAATACTTGGACTGAAAGCCTCTGATTACTTTCAAATTTTTTCTAATTAATTTCAAAGTTTTCAGAGCTATTTAAAGCTACACACCAAAGCAAAAAGAAGACATGAGCTTTGTCCATCACCAACAAATGATATCTGCACTTTGAATGTCACTCATTTTAACACCATTAAACAATGTCTGGACTATAATTTTTTTATATATAAAAGAGCTTTCATTTGGGGGTGAATTTGATTTTCCTACCTAAAACAAAAACTCCTTTTATATTTTATCTATTTTAATAAATCTTCCTTAAAACCATCTACCTGTCTTCAAAATGAATATAACAGGGGTTGGGGATTTAGCTCAGTGGTGCCACCACTTGCCTCGCAAGCGCAAGATCACAAATTCGATCCCCAGTACCAAAAAAAAAAAAAATGAACATAATAGACTCTCACTCCTGAGGCTTTCCTAGTTGTCTTTACAAGGCCCACCTGTGCATCCTATTCAGTTTTCTCCCACCTCACACCTCTCCAGACCTCACCATAATTTAGTGATTAAAGGGTTACCATCTGGAAATCCATGACCTACTGCAAGGCCTAAACTGTGCTGTTCTGAGTGGTCAGTACCCACTGTCAAATATTATACAAAGATGCACACACACACACATACACACGAGATACATTTTCCCATGATACACAGCCATACACACCACACATTCAGACACATTCTCACACCATTCATAAACACCATACACACTGCATGTACAACTACATTACACACAACCATATACACACAGCTATACACTACAGATAACATATACACATGCAGACTTCCCACAATACACCTACATACAACATCCATGGCTATACATACCACACATAGCCACACAGCCATACTCTCATACCACATACATAAAAGACACACCCAGCCAGGCATGGTGGCGCACACCTGTAATCCCAGCACTCGGGAGGCCAAGGCAGGAGGACTGCTGTGAGTTCAAGACCAGCCCAGGCTACACAGTGAGTTCCACGTCAGTCTAAGTACAGAGTGAGACCGTGTCTCAAACAAACCAAAAAACAAACAAACAAAAAAGACACACCCAGAGATATATGAACCATACCCTCTACACATGCACAGCTTAAAGATATACAGTACCAGGCACAAGGCCTGCTTATTTAATCATCAGTAAATACCTACTAAGCAGCATAAACACCTTTGGCTCTTATAGCGAAGGACAGAAAAGGAGAGAAAGAAAAAGTATTTCTGATAAAAGTGATGGCATGTCCTCATCCTTTGGGCCCTGAAGAAATAATGACATTTCAAAAAGCTGAGGGGAGCCAGGCGTGGTGATGCATGCCAATAATCCCAGCACTCAGGAGGCTGAGGCAGGAAGATCACCAGGAGTTTGACGTCAGCCTGGGCTACATAGTTAGTTCAGGGCCAGCCTGCCCTTCAAAGTGAGACCCTGTTCTAAAAAACATCACAGAAATGCTGTTCAAAATGACAGAGACAAAGGGATAAGGGAGGGAAGAACAGACTATGCTAAACAGTGATGGCAGAGTGAAGACTGATGATTTCTTTAGAGCTGCAAATATTTTTGGAAAAAAGCAAGAGTAAAAGAATGGGCACTGATTACATGAAGTGTAGGGTTACAATAGTGACACAGACGATCTTTTAACTCTTGGAAAATTATTCACCCAATCCAGGCTCAACTCCCTCATCAGCAAACTGTGACACCTATCTACTCTGTAAGATGTTATATTAGAAAAAATGCCCATAATCCACTCAGCAGAATATGTGACATATACTGATCATTCAGCAAATGGCAGCTGCTGCTATTACAGCTGTTGAAGATACTATGTACTAGTTTATGATGAAGAGAATTTTTGAAATCCTTTAAATGATCTTAATAGAAGGAAAAAATAACTTTAATTAAAAGATTACACGATTATATCTAATTCTCTCAAATGTGAAATAGACATAGAAAATCAACTCTTTAAAAAGCAGAGAACAAGCCGGGCGTGGTGGTACACGCCTGTAATCCCAGCACTCAGGAGGCTGAGGCAGGAGGATCTCTGTGAGTTCGAGACCAGCCTGGGCTACATAGTGAGTTCCAGGTCAGTCTCAACTACATAGTGAGACCGTCTCAAAAAACCAAAAAAAAAAAAGCAGAGAACAGGAAACTATTTCTATTAAAAGTCAAATAATATGATTATTTAGTAAATATTTAGGGCCATTGGATCACTACTGTAACTATTCAACTGTTTGTACCATGATAGCAGCAATAACATAAAGGAATGAAGTGGCTATGTCCCAACAAAACTATTTAAAACAATGGAAGACAAACTGTCATTGAACAATCACTCTTAAGCATTCCTTAAAGAATTTGGATATGGCCAGGGATTTGGCTCAGTGGTTCTATCACCTGCCTTGCAAGTGCAAGGGCTGGAGTTCGATCTCTGGTACCAATTTGGACACGTAATACAAAAAAATAGTAGGCCTGCTTCACTTTTTTTTTTTTTTTTTTTCTGCTTCACTTTCAAAGATGTAGGTAAGGAGCCAGGGATGTAGCTCAGCAGCACAGCACCTGCCTGGCAAGTGCAAGGTCCTAAGTTCAATCCCTGTTATTAAAAAAAAAAGCCAGCAAACATCACGAAGTATTTATTCTCTGATACTTACATTCACCTCCTTGATCATCCTTTTAAAAATTACAACCACCATAGGGCTGGGGATTTAGCTCAGTGGTTTGGTGGCCTCCCTCGCAAGCACAAGGAACCCAAGTTTGATCCCTGCTACCAAAACAAAAATTACAACCACCACTACTCTCTATCCCCTCCATACCCATACTCCCAATCCCCCTGCCTCATAGCTTACCTTACTGACTGGAATTCTATTCATTTGTCTATTATTATTTATCCATCTGTCTTCCTTTGTTAAACACAAAGGTTAAGATCTTTGTTTTGTTTTATTCACTGGCGTAATTCACACTCCTACAGTAGTGGTAAGGACGTACCGAAGTTCCTTAATATTTTAGTGAAATGAATAAAGGCCAAACTTGTCTCCAGAATCCACTTCATACTTACCTGTATGTATTCTCACCCACTGTTCCTCACAATCTCCTGATTCCTGCCCTCTTTCTTATGTGCCTACAGAATCTTGTGCTTGCTTTTACAGTGATTTACAATCATCTGTTTATGTCTGCTTCCACTAGTCGTTTATAAGCAACTTTAGGAAAGGGACTGAGTTGTCTTAGCAATCTTCTGTAGCATAAGGCTAGATGTTTCAATGTCTTTTAAATAAATGAGTGAATGGATGTGATTTTTAATTTATTCTCTGTCCCTTCCCACCCAACCCAGGCTCCAGTAACTGAATACAATGACTAAAGAGCCTCCTCTCACCTCCCAAACTGCTATTCTGAGCAAATATAATTTACCAAGGTCAAGGGTGACCTTGGGGCAAATTCTGGGTCAATGTACAAGCAAAAACATTTAGGATTATGATTACCACCTTCAAACAGTTTATAATACAATGCAGTGAAATAGACCATGAACTCCACAAACCTAAGTTCCAAGAAACAATGACAGGGACTGTCCCTTAGTCACCTCTGAACCCACTTCTCCGTGTCCAACATCTGGAGCATGATACAGTGAGCCGACAATAGTTAACATTTTTTAAAGGTTCTGCAAAGTAGTAGGGCCTAGAACGAAGCATTATATATGAACCATCTCATTTCATTTTTTCAACTATTCATTTGTCGTCCTTATTTTGGTGATGAGAAAAATAAGGCTCAGAGAAATAACTTGACCATGAGAACAAAAGTGGCACAATTGGAGTCTGTGCCCATCACTCCAAAACCAGGGCTTTTAATTATTACATTAGTACAGGTGAGAGAAAAGGAGGGAAGGAAGGATGGAAAGAAGAAAAACAGTGGCACAGGAGTCCAGATGCACATATATATCTTCCTGAAGAGATCAGAGATTAGCTGCTTCATGGAAGAGATGGTATATTTCAGCCAGGACTTTCAGGATGGCTTGGTAAGCAAGACCAGGACTAGTAGAGAAAGGTCACTCACTACCTAATGAAACGAGAGTGCAGTTAAAACACAGTCATATTCATATCACATTTATAAGATTTGGGAGAGTATGGAGCCTACTGGAGCCTACTGGGCTGGTCTTCCTTAGCAGCACAACAGAGTGGAATGAATTAAGGCAGTGAAGAAGATAGGAAGGTGGGCCTGGTGTCCGCACACCACGAAGGCCAAGAAGGCCCTTGGTTAAAGGGAAGATAAGTTGGAATGTGATCTGAAAGGTCAAAGTGCCAGATCTGGGGCCAAGTCATGGAGGGGCTAAGAAGAAAAAAGGGCTAGGAAAGATCAGGTGTTAGAGCTAAAATTACGTGTCTGACATAAAGGACCAAAGGAGCTCGAGGGTCCGAGGAGATGGCGAGGAAGAAAGGACAAAGGCTGCGATCAGAGGTGTTGGAGGACCAGGACGCCAGAGGCTGTGCTCTGAGGACTAAGAGAAGCCAATGGTTGTCCACAAGAGGACTAAGAGAAGTCCACAGTGTTGTAGAAGATAGGAGCTGAGTTCAAACATACCGCAGGGTGGGAGAGAACGAGCAACTAACCCCAACGTGGCGGGCCTGAGACACTCAAAGGCCAGCGAAGGAGGGCGAGGTGGGTGTGGAGACCGCGGGGACCGGGGGTCCTCGGTGGAGAGACCACGGGCCCTTTGCTCCCCACTGTCTCACGGGGGAGCAAAGGAACATCCAAATCCGCGGTGAGAAGGAAGGAGTCGTCCTCAGAGTGCCCCGCAAAGTTGTACCCGCCTCCCCCCGACCCCCGCCACTCCCGCCCAGCACAGACCCACCTAGCTCCCGCCGCTTGGTCAGGGACAGCTCCGCCTCTGAAGGCCCGGAAAGAACCGCAGACCGAACCCAGGAAGTGCCCGCCCTGCGCCTCTGGGATTGGGCTCTAGGGACAGCCTTCCTTTCTATTGGCTGCAGTACCTGCCACAACGCAGCGCCCTTGCGAAAGCACCAATGATCTTTAGCCTCATGCCCGGCATGCTGGGAGCTGTAGTCCTGGGGAAGACAGTCGCCTCTCGCCTCTAGCCTCGCGGAGAACCTCTGCGAAGTTTAGAACGCGGCGGTTAACTCCTATGCTTTACTTTGAGTGGTGGTCCTTGAAGATCCTCTAAACAGGCCTAGAGTCTGGCACCTCCTTCCAGATTTATAGTTTAAAATTAAAGGAATGTGGACCTGGAAGGGAATTTAAAGATGAGTATCTCAATCCCCTGTCCACTGTTCAAGGAGAACTCTGGCTCCCAAAGCTGGGCTTTTGCTGGGTCCTACGTGCGTCTCCAATTAAATCTGACCCTTTCAAAACAGATACACAATACCAGTAAAGTATCCAGGACTAAGATTTTATTTTTCGTGTTCTATTTTTAAAGATACAGACTAGGGCTGGGGATTTAGCGCAGCGGTTTGGTGGTTTGCCTTGCAAGCGCAAAGACCCGAGTTCAATCCCCGGTACCAAAAAAAATAAATAAATAAAGATACAGACTAATTGAGGTTAACTACAGGCTTCTCAAGATCTGCACGGTATTTTAATGCAGGGGTGGGGGTAGGAGGAACCCTGCCTGCCTTCAGAGGTAGAGACCAGGTTTATAAACCCAGCTCTATCACCTACCGTTGGAAGCACCATTTTTACTTCACTATAAAATACCTAGCAGAATTGTTACAAGGATTAAATGAGTAGAGTAGATAGACAGATGACAGACTGATAACAAGATACATAGAGCTTCTGCTTCTACGTTGCTCAATATTTTGCTGGTTAAGTTTTCTCAATGAGTGGGGCCAGTGCAAACAATGTAAGTTACTTTTGAGATTGGGGTATTGAGAACCAAGACCTGTCGTGTAAAGGTACAAGATCTCAATAATGAATGTAACTACTGTATACCTAAAATGCACCAATAAACTCAATTTTAAAAAAAAAATTATATTTTTAAAAGATTGGGGTATTTAGGAAAGTATGATTGGAAATGAATATGTGTGAGTGAAATACGAGTATCTGTTGTACACTATTAGTTGATAAATTGATTAAAAGTTGGCTAGGGATGTAGCTCACTGGTAGAGTGCTTGCCTAGCATGTTTGAGGCCATGGATTTAATACCCAGTACCATAAAAATTTTTCTTGAAAAAAAAATACTAGAGGTCAGACTTAGAAATAAAATTGGATTTAGTATGAACTGTGGTTAAGGCTTGCTTGAGTGGACTCAAAACTGTTTAGAAACCAATCTCATGATGTGTTTTTCTTCTAGCAACCAAAGTCCCCGCAATTTCTCATTTATAATGAATGAAAACAACAGCATACCAAACAGTAAATAGCAAAGTTTTTATTTAAGACCTATACAAAAGAAATGAGAAGTTCCACTCAGGCATTGTGATGGCTAATTTTATGTATCAATTTGATGGGGTCACAAAGTGCCCAGAATTTTGCAAAACATTATTCTAGGTGTTTCTGTGAAGGTGTTTTTAGATGAGAGTAGCATTTATTTATTTGTTTGTTTATTTCTTGGTACTGGGGATCGAACTCAGGCCCTTGCCTCTTGCAAGGCAGGCGCCAGAACCACTGAGCTAAATGCCCAGCCTGAGTATTTAAATTCAAAAAAAAAAAAAAGTGAAACAGAATGCCCTCGTGGGAGGGCATTCAATAAATTGAATAACTGAACAGAACAAAAAAGGCTGACTTCCCCCAATTAACATAAAATTCTGTCTTTCTGACAGCTTTTTGACTGGACATCAACTTTTCCCCATCTTAAGACTTGAAGAGAAACACTGGCTCTTTTAGATCTCAAGCTTGCCAGGCTCCATAATCATATGAATGCTTATAAACTGTCCCTTTGATGAATACAGGAACTAATGGGAAGACTTCTGATTGACTGATCTAGTTCTGGTGAGCCAAACTATGTACCCATCTGCAAAGGGACAGCCCAGTATCTCCACAAACAGACCAGACCACATATATGGTATGACTTGAAAGTAACTAGCCTTCCTTCTGTGACACCCACAAACCAGATTCATTATTTTATCCTCACACCTTGCAGATAAGAAGGCTACCAACTTCACTGAAATCAATACTCTCTGACCTAAGGCTATTTCCTATACAGATCACCAAGTCTCCCAGTATGACAGTCATGGAGAAAGCTCTATATGAGTGACTTAAATTGCCACTGTTTCCAACTGGGCTGCTCTGACTCTCAGAAGGTATAGGCCAGAACAGCTGACTGATTCATCTGCTCCTGTCTGTTCAGGACCACATACATCTGAACTTTCTGCTTGCAGCTGTGCCTCCCAGCTCCCTGACTGCTCCTACGGCTTCTCAGGGTTGCTGCTCTGGATGTCTCCAAATTATGAAACAACCTAGCACTCTGTGAGGCTGAGGCAAGAGGATCACAAGTTTGAGCCTGGCCTGGGCACCTTAGCAACTTAGAAAGACCCTATCTCAAAATTTAAAAATTTAAAAAGGCTGGGGATGGAGCTCAGTACAAAAGCCCTGGACTTAATCTCCATTATCACATTTAAAAAAAAATAGAAAAGAATGGAATGTTTTAACCCTCTGTCCTACCCCAATTCCTGAAGAAAGAAGGAGGGCATGTGATTTAGAGCATATTTACTTATAAAAAGCGGACTTTGGGGGCTAGAGGCAGAGAGAGAAAAGAAAGAAAGGAGAAAGAGAAAGAGAGAGAGGGGTAGGGAGAGAGGGGAGGTAGGATAGAGGGGCAGAGAAGGAAGGAAAGATCAAGCATTCTTTGGTGGAAAAGTAAGGAGTTAGGGCCTCGGAGCTATAACTTCAAAGCTAGAGCACAGAATGAGATAAACAGAAGTTCCTGTAAATATCCCCTCAGTACATAATGCTTCCCCTGAGCTTGAGTTCATCCTGGTGACACACATTCAATATTTCCACCTAACCCTAAATTGAGCATTTGGTTTTTAGGAATTCTCCTTCCAGGGCAATGAGAGCTTCAAGTCCCTAGAAGAAAGGCAGAGTTCAGAACAGAGCCCTAGAAAAAACATGGTACAATAGAAAACCCAAAAAGGTCTGGATTCGAGTTAAGGAGTAAAGACATTCCAGAATCAGGTGTTGAGCCAGGAGCCTTCAAATCTAGAAGCCTTGACATCCCAGGTGGTCCTAGGAGCAGTTCATGAGCATAACTAAAAAGAAGGAACCTTAAGCTTTTGAAGGGCTGGCCCAAGGTCAGAAGGCCAGGACAGGATCACATCATTGAGTGGGAAAAGCTCCGGGGACTGAGGGGGCAGTAAGGAAGGGTTCACCTTCAGGGCCACATCTCCATTAGCATGGGCTTTTTCTTTTGGCTTGGGGACAGTTGATTCCTCTGATTTCTGTAGTTCTGAACAAATGATTAGAGGTGCTGTGTTTTCCCCTCCATCATGAAGACAAGGTTCAAAGAAAGGGCGGAGGGGACCAGAGAAACTGTGAGTGAAAGTAAAGATGTGGGATTTGCTAGTCACATTGTAGAAGGAAATGATGCCAGCTTCATAGTCCAGGAAAATCCCCACACATCTCAGAGGCTCCTTCAGGCGGAAGTAGGTCTGTGGGGATGTGAGAGCTTCATACTCGTTCCTACCACACTGGCGAACAAGCCAGTGTCCATTGGCAGGTGAGGCAGTGATCTTCCCCTTCCTGCTCACTGACTCACTACACACTCCAAGGATCCATTTGGTCTTGCCTCCCACGTGCACTTCCCAGTAGTGACAGCCAGCCGTGAAGTACTCAGAGCCCAGGATGCTGACCACAAAATCGAATCTCTGTGGGTTGTTGGGCACAGTCTGCTTTCTGTCACCAAGCCTCACACATCTTCGATCCTCAGACAGGATAAGTTTGGGATGCGCTGTATCTGGATCCAGGGTCACTGCCTCTGCAGAGAGTCAGAGAGATCAGGTTTGGGAAAGTTAGGTCTTAAGGTATCTTCGGTAGCTTGGGAAGAAAAAAATAATCTGGAGTTCTACAATCACTGTCACTGACTCTTTTTTTTCTTTTCTTCTCGTGAGTCCCTGGCCCCTCACACATACCAGAACTAAAGAATACTCTCTTTCAAAGAGTGGGTCACCTTGTAGGGTACAAAATAAAAGAAGAAAAAGTTTATCTGCCTGCGTAGTTACCTTAATCTTGAGAAAAACTACCTTTGCCTTTGATGTTCCAATGGAATCTAATGCATGATAATAAACAGGGTTGATGTTTGACTCCCAGCTTTTCCATACATGAACTTGAGCTTGTTATTCATCTCTAAGCTTAAGTTTCCTCATCTGTAAAATGCAAATAATAGTAGAACCTATATTGAAGTGTTGCCATGCAGATTTAGTGAGTTAATAGATGAGACTGTGCCTCCTTCCTACAGTGACTTGTGTTGTGCTCATTTTGTTACCCAAAAGAGTTTTCCTTAAATTGTTGATTGTGAAGGTCATGGTATGACTCCTTCTTCCCCTAAATATAGGAAATGAGACCTTCTCTGAGAGTTAAATCCATGAAATCCATATTTGTTTGAGGTGATGGGAGTAAGCTGGACTGTGAACACAACACAGGTTTGTGACTTCTCATAGTAACAATCTAGGTGAACTATGCTATTTCAAGTGACCAGCTGATTGATTCTGTTCGTACGCTGCAGGAAGGAAGACAGTGTGAACAGGAAGGGAATTAAGGGCCTTGAAAAGTGATAATGAGCCCAAAGCAGTGAAAATAACAATATTGATCCAATATCTGCAAAAATACAAATTATTAAGGAATAGATGCAAAGAAAGATGTGTAAATCTTTTAGAATAAAATTATGAAAAATTGTTATAGTCTACATTTGTTGGGGCATCTGCCAACTCATGCCCTTTTCTGAAAATCTTAGTCACTACCCCCACCCACCAAGAAAACTGGTCTGCAGAGAAGGAAGGATGTGGCAAATGCATAGAAGCAGTCGCTGTTTACCCCACTGTGCACTAGGAAAGACTTCCCAAACTGGAAAGCACCTGAAAACACTGCACAGGAAAAGATTACTGCATTTGACTTCATAAAAATAAGTACTTGGACATCAAAAAGTATATAAGGAAATTAACAATCAAAAAGTAGTGCAGGGCCGGGGATTTAACTCAGCGGTTCGGTGGCCTGCCTTGCAAGCGCAAGGACCCGAGTTCGATCCCTGGTACTAAAAAAAAAAAAAAAAAAAAGTAGGGCAGGAGCCGGGCGTGGTGGCACACGCCTGTAATCCCAGAACTCAGGAGGCTGAGGCAGGAGGATCACTGTGAGTCAAAACCAACCTGGGCTACATAGTGAGTTCCATGTCAATCTCAACTACATAGTGAGACCCTGTCTCAAACAAACAAACAAACAAAAAAGTAGTCCAGAGCTGGGGATTCAGCTCAGTGGTTCTGCGGCCTGCCTCACAAGCTACAAGGCCCAAGTTTGATCCCTGATACAAAAAGCAACAACAAAAAAGAGTAGTCTAACTAGGACAGGAGCAAACAAGACACAAAAAATAAATAACCAAGCTGAGTATGGTAGTGTATGCCTAAAATCCCAGCACTAGGAGGCTGAGGTAGGAGAATTGCCACAAGTTCGAGGTCAGCCTGGGCTACACAGTGAGTTCAAGGCCAGTCTAAACTATATAGTGTGACTCTAAAACAAAACAAAATGAAACAAAAATTGACAAACTTTAAAAAAAAATCTCAAAAAAAAGGAGAAATCTCTTAAGATCAAACCTAATATTTATCAGTGCTCTGAAAAGAGACTTTCCAAATCTAACTGTGATGCTCAAAAAAATCACAAAGTTTTTTAAAAATTTAATAACTGGGTACAGCTGGGCACAGTGGGACACATTTGTGATCCCAGCTACGCAGGAGGCTGAGGAAGGATTACAAATTTGAGGCCAGCCCGAGCAATTTAGCAGACACTGGCTAAAATTTTTTAAAAGTACGTGGATAAAGCTAAATAGTACAGGGAGTGCAGCATATCACCATATTGAAGAGGGAAAAAAAAAAGCAGGTAAACAGATTTGATTAAAAAAAAATTAAGTACAATTTACTTTTAAAAGGAATAGGGCAAAATCTAAGGTTACAGAGCTTTCTGAAGGGTGAGCTCTGAAATGAGGCCCGATCTGACTGGTGTAACTCACCAAAATGCAGCCGGGCTCTTCTCCAGCCTGAAAGACATGAAAAGGGTGCAGTGGTTGGGATCATGAACGTCTCCCAAAGAACCACGTGCTGAAGGCTTGTTCCTTCAATATGGTGCTCTTGCCAGGCGGGGCCTCGCAGGAGGAAATCAGGTCACAGGGACGTGCCACAGAAAGAGACGTGCGGGCCCCAGCGCCTTACTGTTTCTCTTTGCTTTCTGGCTGCCATGAAGTGAAAAGCTTCCCGGTAAGTGTAATTAAAAAAAAAAAAAAATCTACAGCGAATGTTTAATTTTTTTTTTTTTAATTTCATGAGAGTAAAAAATACATTGCCATTAATCCTTTCCTAAAGGCTCTCTCTCGCTTCAAACATACCCCATTGTTCTTGCCACTTTCTGAAGCAGTTCTGGAAGTCTTCTTTCATGTCTTTGATAATTGTGCTGTTGGGGTTGCCTCGATGTCGGATCGATTCAAAACATTTAACTTTCATGATCAGTTTGAGTTTGCGGAAGAGCCGGAAGTGGCACAGTACCAGATTCAGTAAATAACATTGCTGAGGACACACCGCAGTGTCTGTAGGACCCTGGCTTTCCTCTAGATAACGTGTGACAGCAGCATTCACCATTAATCATATCTTGTGTAAAAAAAAAAAAAAAACAAAAAAAAAACCTTCAGAGTTGTTTCAGAAAGTGGCAGCAATGGGGCACATTTGAATTGAGGAGGAATATTCTGAGGGAGATGTAACGGCAATGTGTTTTTTACCGTGATAAATTTTTAAAAATTTTTTAATTGTGGCTACAAAGCAGAGGAAGGGGCTGGGTCCCAGTATCTCCTTCTCTGGCATCCCCCAGTGACATGACTTCTGTCCATAAGGCCTCATCTCCCGAAGGTTCCACCATCTCCCAGCAGCATGATGTGGAGGAACGAGCCTTCAACACATGGGCTTTTAGGGCACATGTGAGATTCAACAAAATTGTATTTTACATTTTTTACTAGTATATTATGCAATACATAATGATTACATTTATTATGGGAAGTTTCCACATGTATATAACACATCTTTTTGGAGGGGGTACTAGGGACTGAACTTGGGTCCTTGCGCTTGCGAGGCAGGCCACCAAACCGCTGAGCTAAATCCCCGGCCCTAACACATCTTAATTCTTTTTTTTGTAAATCCTCTTCCCCTCCCAGCCCTCCTGCCTCCTTCCAACTCTTGGTCACCTTCTCATTTGCAAAAACTGTATGTTTTCTATATATTTTAATTCTCATATAAAAGAAACCATGTGATATTTACGTTTGTGCATCTGACTTACTTTTCTTGAGTATTATGGTCTCGAGGTACATCCATCTATGTACAATTTTTTTTTATCAGAACTTGTGCCTTGCCAGAGGCCTAAAAGCAATGGGCAAATTGACTATAGACTCATACCTTCAACACTGTGAGTCAAAACAAGCCTTCCTTCCTGATAAAATGTTTATCTTGAGTATTTTGTCACAATGAAGGAAAAAAGACCAGCATAAGGAGATCATTAAAGCTCTAGAGAAAATGAGAACTCCCACAGGGTGAGAATCAAGCATGGGACAAGTTCATCTCACCTGAGTTGGCTGCACTTCTTTTCAACTCTGTAGAGGAAGAAACAAAAAGGATGAGCTCTCACTGAAAATACTGAGACAATAGGAGATAAGTTGGTATGGAAGTTATAAGAACATGAGAAACTTACTCAGTTCACTCCGGAGTTTCTCTAAAGAGTAAAAATAATTTGACAAATCAGAATGAGAGCTACGACATTGCCTCAATGTTCCTGCCCCAGTCCACCCAGATTCCAAGAGCCCTCAATAGCCATGGAACTTTCCCGTAAGAATTCCTGCAAAGGCAACAGGTCTCTAGAGTATGACGGAGGATCAGCAAATTCCTATATGAGCCAAACCTTACTGGTATACCAAATAAATAATACATCTCACACCTATAGACAATGATAATTCAAATGTATGTAGAAGTTTTGGAAGAATATAATTTATATTTATACACATATGTATACAATCTATGCATTTATATATATCATATATACATATATACTATGTGTATATACATACATCATATATATTTAGATTTTTTGCAATCTAATCTAGAATGCATCCTATGCAAACTTTGTACCACTGTACATCCTGAGCCTACAAGTTCATTTAAAACTATCAGTGAGTCACTGTTATTGTATATATTTTCTCCACATGAAACCATATATATATGTGTGTGTGTGTGCATGTGTGTGTGATGTTTGCAGATTTTCCTATGGATTTTCAAGACAGAGTCTCACTCTGTAATTCAGACTAGCCTTGAATTCATTATGTAGCCCAGGCTGTCCTCAAACTCATAGTGATACTCCTGCCTTAGTCTCTGGAGTCCTGGGATTACATGCATGCACCGTCATTCCTGGCTGAAGATTGTTTTTAATGTTAAAAAAAAAGTTTTCAAAAGGGAGGGCACGGACAAGGGGAAAAAAATGTGAACCAAGACCTGTCATGTAAAGGTACAAGTCCCAATAATGAATGTAATGGTACTGTATACCTAAAATGTACCAATAAACTAAATAAAAGAAAAAAAAAGTTTTCACAAATGCAATGGAAAAACAGCACTGCCCTAGCATATTCAGTCTGATGGAGATTGATCTGCCTTGGACATCACCTAAAGGAATTCCATGTCTGGGTAATAAAAGAGACTTCCAGTTGCTTCACCTTTGGAAAGTGTATCTCTTCTTGGTGAAGTATTTCCCATCGAGAAACTAGGTAACAAGTAAGCAGGAAAGAGGAACAGGAACATTTGAGAAAAGAGGACTTTAAGGGCCAAAAAATCCCAATCTTGTGGCTTGAATTACCCTTGCCCCCTCCCTCTGTCCAGAAAGTGAGACTGAATCACCCATCTAAAAGCAGAAATTCCAGAAAAGGGAAGTTTGTGCCACAGAGGAGGAGCAGGACTTACTGATGGCTTTATGAAGTCTTCCTAAAAACCAAAGAGAGAGAGAGAGGAGTGAGTAATCAGATTCTGACCCTTTGTCCCGCAGGCCCTGGGAAGCTCACCAATCCACACACACACACACACACACACACACATGAAAGAGAGGATGATGATGTTTCCATCAGTCCCTACTCCAGTCTCCTGTCCCAGGGGTCAGACTAAGAAATACAGGGGTGCCAGTGCCCCTTTCCTGAAGGCCCAGACTTTGGTTTCTCCTTTCTCTTTCTGACTGTCTAGTTTCATTTCTGCTGTGTTTCCACCTGTTTGCAATCACAGTCCATGGTACATGCCTTGCTACCCTTATTCAGTCTACTGTTTTTGATGTCTAAATTACAAAGCTAGCAGACGCTGAACACAGACATTGATATGGCTTTATGATTTTTTTATAGTAACCCCTAAAATTACACTTTTCACAAGTTTGGAGGCCTAAAAAGATTTAGAAACACATATATGCTTTACATGCTTTAGGGGAATATTTATGGCCTCTCTAGAGGGACCATCTGGCCCACGTGTCCTCCTACCTAGCATTGGCCCTGCCAGATAATTTATTTATTTTACTAGAGAAACAGATTTAATGCAAGATATACAAATACATAAGAATTTATAAGGGTTGGGGATTTAGCTTGGTGGTGCTGCCACCCGCCTCGCAAGCACAAGGTCCTGAGTTCAATGCCCAGTACCAAAAAAAAAAGAATTTACAGGATAGGCTTACAATGGGTGCCTTCAGAGTCAAGTGTGGAAGGGTACAAATGAGCTTTCTGTGTGCAGGAGATAAGAAGGATCCAGCTGAAGGTCTGGAGTGCCTGGTAGTGTTCCATGTGAGTCTGTATCAGGACACCTAAGAGTCTGCTGTGGAAAGCTGAAGGGTCTGTGCTTCTTGGTGCTTGGGCGTGGCCCTGGCCTCCAGGAAGACTCCAAGATCACATACTGGAAACTTAAAGGGGACATTGTTTTTCTTCTTTTCTTTTCTTCTTCTTCCTCTTCATTTCTGTCCTTTCTTGTTCCTGTTTTTTCCTGTTTTGATTTTTCTCAATTGTTCTTATTTCTATAGGAGCATGAATATGGTTTCTAGTTCTCCTGTTGCTCTTAATTTGTTCTGCTTGTTTTTTATCCTTCCTTTCTCTTTTCCTCCTGTCTTCACAAGTTTCCCAAACTTTGCATGATCTTTCTGTGTCCTCTAGCCTTACTTCTAACCTTTCTCCTCTTATTTCTGTATCACCCCCACCCCCACAAGTCCTTCTGAGTTCTCTCCCCAGAGGGCAAATTCACTTTATTGATGGGCTTGTTTACTGCAAATATATTTCTGGTTTATTCTAGATTGTATGTAACAACAAGTCTAGTTCCTGCAGTCAAAGGTGGTAGATTAATAGTTAGCACTGTTTGTCATTTTCTAGGCAGTGTTTGATGCTATTGTTGATGTTGATTGTATTACTTTGAGCAAAGTGATGAGATTATTCTAGTCAGTTGTTCGGCTCAATATACCAAGACTGAGATTTCCTAGGGTCATAACAGACTCAAAATCCAAAGGCCAGATACACCCGAAAGACAATCTGAGAAGTAGACATTTCCTAAGGGTTCTGAATATTATGAATAAAGGTACTTGCAAGAAACAATATACAAGCATCAACGCAGGAATTAAACCAAAAACATCAAGAAGGGCCGGGGATTTAGTTCAGTGGTTCTGCCACCTACCTTGCATGCACACGGTCCCAAGTTCAATCCCTGGCCAAAAAAAATCAACAACAAAATATGGAAATGAGAAGAGACCTAAATAAGATGCAAACCCAGATTTCCAGCTCACCAAAGGCAAATCCAATGGACGAGGTAGAAAAATCTGAAAGTCAACCCTGTGAACTCCCCAAACTGGTAATAAAGGAAGTAACAAAACAGATGAAAGAGGCTCTAGAAAAAATGAAATCAGAAATAATTTGTCAGATAACAACAGAGAGGGTGACCATAATAAAAGACATGATCAGTAGAGCAGATACAGATTTTTTTGAAAAAGCAAAGGAGCTGAGGAAAATAGTGGAAATCATTAATATCCAGCATAAGAAAGAAATGAAAAGCCTGAAAAATAATGAAGCAGATATTCAAGAGATTAAAATTTTCACTGAAAGTTTCTGCAGCAGAATAAGTGAATGTGAGAACAGAATTTCAGATACAGAAGACAGGATTGCAGTTACCAAACACAAAAAGAAATATTTCTTAAAAATAGGAAGGGATCATAAGAAGTTAATTCAACAGCTGCTGGATGATGCAAGAAAGATTTATTGAAGATTGATTACTGTCAGTGAAGAAGTAGGAAATAAGGTAAAAGAAATAAATAAACTCTTCACAAAAGTGTTTCAGAAAACTTATCAAACAGGAAAAACAATTTAACACAAAGATAAGTGAGGCATACAGAACTCCAACTAGCCATGATAAAAAAAAAAATTTATACCTATCCATAATAGTTAAAGATTCCAGAAATCCAACACAAGAACAAAATATTAAAAGCAGTTAGAGCAAAGCAACAAATTACATACACAGGAAACCCCATTACAATCACAGTAGACTTCTCAACACAAACCCTCAAGTCAAGGAAAGCCTGAAGTGAGGTATTTCAAGCTCTAAAAGTTCTCCAACCCAGAATGATGTGTCCTACAAAGCTATCTTTCAAAATTGATGGTGAAATGAGATAATTTTACAACAAAAAATACCTGAGTAACTTCACGAGCACCAAATCAGTGCTCAAAAAAATTATAAACAATATCCTAGGAAAAGACAATGAGGGTCACAACTCCAAGAAACCCAACAGAATGAATCCATCAGGCAAGATAAGAAATTAACTGCAAAGGGGAAAAATATCCAAAGACAAGAAAAGATTATGACAAGGACAAGTCAATATGTATTAGTTATATCCATCAATGCTGTTGGTCTCAATTCACCAATCAAAAGAAACTCCTGCAAGAGAATTTAAAGAATACACCACTAATCCCAGCTCTTTGAGGTATCTCCATATTGATTTCCATAGTGGTTGCACCAGTCTGCACTCCCACCAACAATGGAGAAGGGTTCCTTTCTCCCCACAACCCTGACAACATTTGTTATTGTGTGATTTGATAGCAGCCATTCTTTGTGGGGTGAGGTGGAATCTCGGTGTTGTTTTCATCTGCATCTCTTGAATGACCAGTGATGTGTAACATTTTTTCATATATTTACCTGCTGCTTTTACTTCTTTGTCTGAGAAATGTCTGTTCATTTCAGATGTCCATTTTTTAACTGGGTCTTTATATGTGGGGGGACTGATTGTTTTGAGTTCTTTATATATTCTAGATAATAGTCCTTTGAGGAGCAGCTGGTAAAATTTTTTTCCCACATTGCAGGTTGTCTCTTAGTTCTGTTAATGTGTTATTTTGCAGTGCAGAAGCTTTTTAATAAGATGAGATCCCAGTTGTTGATTCTTTCTGCTAGTTCCTGTGCTACTGAGGATTTGTTCATAAAGTCTTTTCTTATGCCAATGTCTTCAAGAGTTCTGCCTAGCTTATCTTCCAGCAAGTTTAGTGTTTCTGTTTTAATATTTAGATCTTTAATCCACTTGGAATTTAATTTAGTGGATGGTGAAAGAAAAGGGTCTAGTATCTTTCCAAAAGAATTAAAAGAATGATATCACAGTGATATATGCGCACCTATGTTTATAGCAGCAGTTTGTAATAGCTAAAACTTGGAAACAGCCCATTTGTTCATCAGTTAGAAACTGGATAAAGATGTGGTATTTCTATAAAATGGAATACTACTCAGCCATAAAGAATGAGAAATTAGATTCATTCATAGGAAAATGGATACATTTTGAGGATATACTCCTAAGTGAAATATATAAGTCACATATGTGTAAATACCAAATAGTTTCTCTGGCGTGAAAAACTACAATAGTACACAAGATCCTAATTAACAATGTGAAATAGGAAGAAAAGGGCTAAGGGTGTAGGGAAAGTGGGAAGGGTAGGGGAAAGGGAATAAGGAAAAAGAAAAAAATATGAGAAAATGAAAAAATGGAATTAAAGTGTTTGTAAATAGGGAGGGGAGGAGGGGGTGAAGGGAGGGCAGGGTCAAGGGGAAAAAATGAGAACCAAGACCTGCCATGTAAAGGTACAAGATCCCAGTAATGAATGTAACTGTACTGTATACCTAGAATGTACCAATAAACTCAATAAAAAGAAAAAAAAGTATACACCAGAGTCCACTACCAAGGCCTGTGCTTCGGGGCCAGATATGGGTTAGGCATTTGGCTCTGGAACAATGAGACTAGGAATATCACAGTTCCTTGGGTGCTATGGTTAATTGTTGCCATTTCCACTACTAAAAGCTTTTACTGATCATTTCCTGTTCTTATATGTACTAAGGCAAGTGCTGAATCTTCTCAACAATATACAGTGCATAGAATTATTAGTCTTGCTTTACAGAGATAGTCTGAGGCTCAGAGTGTCAGGAAATTTGCTCCAGATCATCCAGCTAACAAGAGGCCAAAGAGGCAGGATATAAACCCAAGTCTGACTCCTGAGTCAGAGGTTTCCACATCACACACGCTGTTCCCTTCCACTCTTGGGCAGGACAGCCACAGTGTCTATGGTGTGGAACTCACACTTTCACCAGCTTGGAGAGGAGATCATAGTATCATTGCATCTGGGGTCATCTGAGCCAGTGATCTAACTTCAAAAGGCTAATTTTTACCCTCAGTGGACCACAGCACACATTCAATTAATGAAGGTAGTAAGGTGGCAATAAGAGAAAGGAGTTCTAGGCACTGTGACAGATGTGGGGTTTTTTTTAAAGGTTGTCTCTTTAAATACTGAAAACAATCAGAAACGAGTACTTATTATTCTCCTTTTACAAATGAGGAAACCCAAGCTCAAGGCAGTAAAGTGACTTTTCCAGGGCCAAAAAGGATAGAACACTGATCTGAGTCAGGTGTTGCTGACTGTGATCCTTCCTTTGTTATCACATCATCTCTCTCCATGCCAAGATTCTTGAGATTTTCATACATGCTATATTAGTATACTTTGAAACAACTTTCAGACTCCCTTTGTAAGTGATTGGTACAAAGACTGATGAAAGGAGCTCCCAAGGATCCAGAACTATGCATTTTGATCATGGGCATCCCCTTATCCACTGCCTCCAACTCCATAGCCCCTTGATAATGGAAACTGAATTCCAAAAATATTAATAGAGTGTCAGTAATTTTTGGCAGGGTATTGGGGATCGAACTTGGAACCTTGAGCTTGTCAGGCAGGCAGCAGAACCACTGAGCTAAATCCCCAGCCCAAGTATCAGTAATTATATATAAGGAAAATCAATATATTATTTGTTCCCTACCCTCACTCTTTATGTATCCTTACCTTTTTCTTTCGCATGGTCTTCCAGAAGATTTTCTAGGGTAGGAAAGGAAAAGAAAATAAGACTTTCTGCCATTCCCTCGAGAACTTTGATTTGTACTGGGTTTACCTGCTCTTGAACCTGTTCACCTCTGTCCTTTGTTTCCACCTCCCTGATCCAGTCCCTCATCGTGTCTCATGTGGATGATACAAATAGCAACCCACATTGTCCCCCACATCTTGTCTTATTCTTGCTCCTGTTGTTCTGCAGCTAGAAAGAGATTTTCAAAGCACAATTCTGATCCAGATATCCACATTCATTGATTTCCCACTTGCTTAAGAGAAAGATGGGAATTTTTAACGCAATTTAGAAGACATTCGTGACTTAACTCCATCACCTTTCCCCCTTGTTTCAGCACCTTTTCAGCTCCTCATGTAAACATTGCTCTAGCTGATGTTGTATCTGCTGTGGATAGTTTTCCTTTCTCTTCTAACTCATGATTTCCCATCCTTCGAGTGGAGCATCACACCCTGAGCCCTCAGGCGTGGTTAGTTCCCCTGGCCACAGCCTTTGTAGAACTGAGAACTTTCCTGCATAGAATTTGTACATATCTACTTGAGTAATTATTTAATTAATGTAATCTCCCTGGCTAGATTGGAAGTTTTAAAAGACCAGAGCTGTGTCTGCTTTTGCTCACCATTGGATCTCCACAGCCTAGAATGGTATAAGGCATTTAGTAGATAATTATCAATTATTTATTGAATGAATAAAGGTTTCACCATGTTTGACCTACATAACTCCAACGAAAGATCAAGCAATGAGAATACCAACAAAAATCACCAAATATACTGGAAGGAGAGCTATTACAAGTATAAGAGCTGCTAAAAACTGGAAGCAATGGATTTAGATAGCATCACCGTTACCAAGGAGAGTAGATGATGGAGCTTTCAGATACAGAATCTAATTAGTGGGCTTTAAGATACAGAAATCAACAACACAGAAACATCTCTCCCACCCGAGCCTAGGACACTTACCTACCTGCAACGCCTGTTCATAGAGAAGCTTCTCTAGATGGAAGAAAAGGAGAGAGAAGTAATTTGGGATTTAAGACGGCTTTTTTTTCTAACAAGCATAGCTGTCCAAAGATGACCCAAGCTGCTGGAGTAGGACTGACTTCTGGGCATTATGGGTATGTGACCCTTTGAAAAGATTTCAGGGTCTTCAAGCCATCACATGGAGGAGGAAAGAAGTGTTGGCTTGTGTAACTTGCCAAGACCACTGCTACCATGAGATCCTGTGAAATGCAACCATTTTTATGAGGGTGTAATCCAGTGAATATAATTGGATTTCCTGATTAGAAGGCTTTAATTTCTCAATTAGAAGGCTAGCATGACCAGTTGTTGTCTAATTTCTCAAAGGATGAGCATTTACAAATCTGCCCAGGCCTTTCTGCAGTTTATTGCATTCCCTGTACAGTGGGAGTCCCTGGGGTACATTCTGCCAGTTTTCTTCCAACCCACTTGGAAGGTCTTCAACCTATGGACAACATCATGCCTATTTGTAATTCCTTCTGGTGTTTTCCCAGAGTAATCATAGTTCCACTTCCTGCCAGCCTGGGCTACCACCTAGTTACCTTTTGATCTTCTTTGCTTCCAGATGACATAAATGCTTGCTGTGATGAACAGCAACAGAACAGGTAGGACCACAGCCAGAGCCACTGTTGAGGATGAGAGCCTTTCCGAAGATGGGACTGAAACAGACCACCAATGAGCATCCTCAGGGAGACATCTGAGAGCTGCTCCCAGGCTGCAGATGGCAGATGGCCCAGGCACATCCCAGCTGCCTCCATCACTTCCGGACAGAAACCCCAACCAAGAGACTCTCTGCTTCTCATGGTAAATCAAACCCTGGAGAATATTAAAGACTACTGAGATGTTCACTTCTCAGGAAAGGTTTTGATGGTCCTCCTTTTTTTTTTTTTTTAAACTCAGATTCTCAAGCACAATCTTGTTCTGTTCTAAACTCAGTAGAAAAAAATAATGTGGGAACCTCAGCGACCTGCAAGTGCTTTCCTTAGTAATCACCACAACCTTCTCATGAGCATCTGCCCGCCTCCCCTTCAAATCCTCCCCTGCTTGGAATAGCAGTCAGCACCCTCTTTCCCTGAGCACCAACAGCGGGCGTAAAACAAGCTTTGGATGTCAGAGCAGCAGGCTTAAAGCTTAGTCAGGACAGAAAAGAGAAAATAAGAGAGAAGAGGACTGTGACAAGTGATGTCTTTGCTCAACCGCTGTGTGACGCAAGAGACTCAGCCTCTCCCAGCCTGGCTTGGTGCATCTGTCAAATGGGGATAAGGGTCGCTGTCTCCTAGGGTTGGGGGAGATCTAAAGCAATCAGTCAGGTTATCCACTTAGCACCTAGGGAGGGGCAATGGCCGTAGTAAGAGAAGAGGGTATGGGCCCAGAGGGAGAAAAAAGGGAATTAACAGATATTTGGCCCCTCTTCACCAGAAAACTCCAGGCACTGTGTATCTTTCTTGGCTCTGAAGCCATGATTCTCTGCCGCCTGACTCCGTGTTTCAAAGGTCTCTAAAGGATTCACACCTTTTGCCTATTAATTCTTCTTCCAGAAACAATCTAATAATCAGAATCACTTTTCCAATGCATGCAGAGATGTTCCTTGTACCATTAGTTTTGACATGAAGGAACACTTTTTTAAAAATCTAGACACCCAAAAATAGATGGATTATTTTTTGTTATTCTGTAGCCACACAATGAAATCCTATGCAGCATCTCAAATCATGTTATAGAAAATTTCTTAAGGGCATGGGCAAAAAATGCTCATGACACAGGCAGTGTGGGGAAGGAAGCTCAGGCCAAGAATTCACATACAGCCATCCATGCTACTTGGAGGAACATGCATGCCAGAAAGTCTGGAAAGAAATACATCAAAATGCTTCTAGTAGTCCTTTATCATTTATGATATCGAAGATCATTTTTTGGTTTCTTTAAAATGTTTTGCGTGTTTTTTGCTTTCTACATTATAGACGCTGTATTCTCAGAATTAAAAAAAAAAAAAAAAGTACAGAGTTTCTGAGAGTAGGAGCTCCCTTGAGCCCCATCAGGGGATTAAGTGTATTTCCACCTCACTACTTGCTATGACCACACCTGTGCTCTTTTCTCGACTGAAGACCACGTTGCAGACAATACAAGACACATTCCCCCCGGGTGGGACTGTAGTTCAGTGGCAGAGCACTTGCTAGACTGTGCTAGGTCCTTGGTTTAATCCCTTGCACCACCACCAAGGAAAAAGTCCATTCCCCAGAGCACTGTCCCTGACTCTGCTGGGTACTGCTGTTCAGAAGAGCCCAGTCTGTCCAGGGAGTAGGGCTCAGACAGGGATGGAAGCGCCCTGCGTCAGGGTTTCTCCAATTGTCCCAAAGCTTTCGGAACCATCCCACAGAGCTGGACACCTGCTGGGTCCATCCAGATATCAGACCTGAAGGTCAGAGCCTGGCACTGGAGTGGACAGGCTGCCTGGCTGAACCAGCCCGGGAACAGACTGGCAGAGCCTCAGCAAGTTTGTGGTTCTAGTCAGAGTCCCGGGTACAGGGGATACCCCCACACCAGCCTCCCCTGATGAACAGGGGCAACTGTCAAAGAAACTTTAATGTCTGATTCTCCCTTCCACACCCCCATTCTCCTACCAGTGGGACAAGACTGTCTCTAGCTTTATTCAAATACATTTCAAAATCCATTCATGGCAGTAGCTGCATCACATGATTCTAAATTCTTCTGGGCACTGCAGGTCCCACTGAAAAATTACTTTGCAACCCAAAGTCATTTTCCATGATTGGAAAGCATCTTTGTACTAGCTACTGTGTGTTTTAAAGGGTTGATTTAAAGCAGTCACATACTCTCTTTTTGGTGTATTACTCAGCTATGACCAAAAGATGATCAGTCTGTAACTGTGTGGGGGTGGTATCACTCAAGCAAATTCAAAGACTTGGGTTGAGTCAGGTTGGGTTAGAGTTTGATAGGCTGATTCTTTTTTAAACATTGAAGCCCATTTGAGAGACAGTATCTCTACCTTCCTGGCCCTTTAAGTACTTGGGAACCACAGGAGAGACTCATTAAGTAAATCCATGTCCCAGCTGGTTATTCTGGCCAGTGATGACCTTCCCCATAGTTAGGGGTTTCTTGATGATCAAGCAAAGAAATGTGACCCAGGAGGAAAAATTATGGTCCCGATCAACAAGCTGGAACAGATCACTGGCTGTATTTAACCAGGACCTGCACTGTGCAGTGCTTTTCGTAACACAGTGTCTTTCTCAGGAAAGGTCAGAGGCACAGTTTCACCTGCAATCAGAGGATGCTGGGTAAGTTTGGACCATCCATGCAAGTAGAAACTGCTTGCTGAAGAAAGAAAAGTCTACCTATGGAAGGACAAACCAGGGACAAACCTCACAAAACCACCAATCCCCACAAATGACCCCGAGCACCTCAAACCCATCCTAACCTGCAACCTGCAGGGTCACGGTGCCTTCTCGCGTCAGGTTTCCAACCTGGATCTGACATTGGTATTGTCCTTTGTCCTCGAGGCTCACGTTGCGGATCCGTAGAGAGACTTTTCCCTCTTGGAGGTCTCTCACAAGCTCTGTCCTGCCCTTATATTCCAGTCTCACATCTTCATTTCTGTCCTTCCCACCCAGGAACAGGTGCACAGCCTGGGAGTCCTGCTGGTGTGAGGGCCGCAGCCACCTCACCTGCTCTGGCACAGTCATTGGCCAGAGGGACAGAGGGCAGAGCAGCTCAGCCGTATCTCCCAGAGAGACCAGGTAGAACTTGCCAGCATCCCCTGTGTGGCAGACAAAAAAAATTTTAAAAAGACATGGCAAGCTGGGAGGGAACTGTAGGAGAAAGAGCTTAGGGAGGGACGAAGCTTGGGGAAGGGTCCTGGAAGTGACGGAGGGAAGAACAGAACCCAAAAAGCAATTAAATCTTGGGTCATACCTCCTTATTCTGGAGACTGCATTGGGAGAGAGGTTTTGGGGCTCCTACCTGACACATGCTCAGGCCGCTGGAGGAAGATCAGAGTGAGGAGGCAGCTGGACAGGCAGGACCCAGAGGAACTTGTCATCTTCATCCCAACTAGGACAGACACCAGAAGAGGGCTGGTGAGCTTCACGGAGGGGGTTTTGCCAAGATGCTGGGGCTGAGACTGAGGCCTGACCCAGACTTCCAACCCCAGCTCCACCACTGGCTCCCTTGTAGCATGGACTAGACTTTGCTGAATGAGTGTAATAATGGTGCCTCCTTGCAGGATTACCATGAGGGCAGAAGGAGGTGAGCGCTTGCACACAGAAGCTGCCCTTCTGGTTAAGTCTGTAAATGCGGTGGGTGTGGAGGACAGTGGGGATGAGATGAGAACACTGCAATGTAGAAGGCAGAAGGAGATGTCTGGGAGTCCATACTCAGAACTAACCAAGTAAGCCCTGGCTTCTTCTTGCACTTAGTGTCAGGCCAGGCTTGCGAAGTGCCAGTTTCAAATCTGTCTTTACACACTGTATTCGGAAGCGCCTCCCTGACAGCTCTGCAAGTTGCCACATAACAAATGAAGGCCAAGAGACCTCTCCATTTCATCCCATGAACCCATGATCTGGAGCTGGAAGGATCTGGGTTCAAGTCTTAGTTTGCCCATTTACTATCTCTGTGTCCCTAGGAAAGTTGTGCAGCATCCCTGCCTCTCAGGTTCTTCTTCAGGGGGGGTGTGGTCCTCAGGTGAGTGGGAGGAGTTAAGGAAAAGATGCATGCAAAGCACTGGCCACAGATACCTGGCAAACAAATGCTCAATAAATTGTTATTATTACTGAACTAAAAGTGGGCAGTTATCCCTAGGAAGTGTAGATTACTGTGTGTACTAACCATGAGAGACCCTAAAAATGTCTCCCACCTACTTGCTACTGCCTGGAATTCCTTTAGCAGGAAGCAGAATCTCTCATGCCACCTTCTCATCATGAGGCTAAAGCTTAAAATATAAACACTCTAGGAAGAGCTAAGTCTCTTAAGTGCACTCCAAAGTTTCACATCCTTTCCAAAGAGGTTTGTGAAGATGTCAGAAAGCCTGGTCCCAGAAGGTCACAGATTGGAGAAAGATGAGACTTAGAGGAGGAATCAAAGGGAGGTTGGCAAATCAAAGTTGAATTTATGCATTGAATGTATTCATGTTTCACACTTCCAAATCTGTTTTTGTCATGGTAGAAAGCATGATGCTGTGGGGTTGCTTTTTTGTTTTTGTTTTCAGCACCAGGGATGGAACTCAGGACCTTGTGTTTGTAAGGGAGACGGCGGCACCACTGAGCTAAATCCCCAGCCCTTGCTTTTGCTTTTTAATCATGATGCATACAACACACCTTTATAATCCCATGGCAGATGACAAGAGGCCATAGTGAGGTTAGGATTACATTAGGAAATTTTTTTTCCTTCTTTGGCCTCTATCCTACCCACTTTCCTACACGTTACCAACTACTCAGAAACCAAACAAGAGTAGATGAGAAAGAGTTAAATAAATGTGAAAAGCACTCTATTTAACCGGTTATGAATGAAGATAGAAGTAGGTAAGGTTCAGAATACCTGGAGGTATGCACAATCCTCAAACACATCTCAACTTTTATTTATTTATTTATATGTTTGTTTGTTTGTTTGTTTTCTCCCAGTGCTGGGTATTGAATTTAGCATCTTGCTCATGCTACACAAGCTCTCTACCACTGAGCTACATCCCCACTCAAACCTCAACTTTTTAGTGATTCGGAAACCTGCCCCGAGTATACATACAATGCCCAGTGTGACTCAGAGCTCCCAGCTGAATGAGTGCTGCCTGGAAACAAGTAAAACAGAGACCTCTATGGATATATATTTGTACGTACAGACAATTGATGAAGAGATTAAAAGGACTGGCTCAAGAGCTAGCCTGGTTCCAGTGCTGCCTCAGCCATTTCAGTGCTAGTGGCTCTAGACAGGTTAATTTAATTCTCCAGACTTCCTCTTGCTCACACAGGACATGAAGTTAATAATTATACCTACCTTGTGGATGGATTTAGAGTGAGGATTTTAAAAGGTACGTGTACCGGCCAGGGATTTAGCTTAGTGGTGATGCTGCCTGCCTTGCAAGCGCAAGGACCCGAGTTCAATTCCCAGACCCCACACACACACAAAAAAAAATGTAAAACGATTTGTACCAGATGCTAGAAAATAAGAAACAAATGAAGTCCTATCAAGGTGTCACTGTGTGTAATAAGGGTAAATGAATTGAGGTGGCTGTGGGGGAGAGGGCTGTCTCCCTGAAGCATGTGACCAAGCTGCTAAGTAATGGAAATCAGCTGTAGGAGCAAACTAAATTAGGACAGGATGATATCGGAAGCGAAGTGCTTACCCTAGTCATTAGAACAATGCAAGACCACAGCTAGATATCACTTGCCTTCCCTCCAACTGTCAAAGATTAGGAAAAAAAAAAAATCCAAGTAATCACACATGTGCACAAACTGACTCTTTTGTCCACTGCTAACAACTTTCACAAGGATAATTTAGCAATGCGTACCCAATTATTTACAAATATGCAAAAATTTGCTATTTACAAATTGCAAAAAAAGGCAATTTCACTTCTAGAAAAGAATCTTAAGGAAACATATAAGGATGTGTACAAAGATTTAATGTGAGAATGCTCTTCAGTTATTTATAAAAACGGATAAACTGAAAGCAACCTAAAAGTCCATTAAGATAGGAATGTTAATTATTTATAATACATTTTGCAATGGAATACTACACAGCATTTCATAATCACATGGTGGTTAGTAGCCCTGACATTTTTTCATTATATTCCCAAACAGTAATTTTTTTTTTAGGTCGGTATAATATGACATAGGGGAGAAATGCTTAGAAAAGAGGCAAGAATGTGAATATCAAACTGTGGCTACTTCTGAGAGTAGGCAGAGGATTACAGGTAATTCTTATGGTTTTCTTTGTGCATTTTCCAATTTTTTAACCTCATGTATCACTTTGGTTATCACAAAATAAGTCTGTAAAATGGAGGAGACAAGCATGATCAGGAAGGGAGGGAGGCAGGAAATTAGAGATCTCCACAGTTCTAGTTCACAGAAGCTACAACCACAACCACTCACAGAGCACTGAAAGGGAAAATAAGAAGCTATCACCAGCTCTTTACATCATGTTTTCTTATGGATACAAGAATTATTTGATCACCAGGTGGCCAGGATGGCTTCGACCTCTATCATGTTCTCATATAACATATACATTATAATAATCTGCATTACATTAGTGTAAAACTGAATTAACATTAATTCATAAATATGTTTTTAAAGTATAATATTGTTCTATAGTAATAATAGCTCTCATTGAATTTTTTTTTCTTTTTTCCAGTACCAGGGTTCAAACTTAGGACCTTGTGTTTGCAAGGCAAGCATGGAGCCACTGATCTACATACCCAGCCCTTCTTTTTTTTTTTTTTTTTTGTAGTGTGGATCAAACTCAGGACCTTACACTTGTGAGGCAGACCACTGAGCTAAATCCCCAGCCCCCTCATTGCATTTTTGAAACTCTGCATGTATGGTGTTCAGAAATGACAACAATCCTGAGAGCAGATGGGATATCAGAGACCTCTGCAGTAGGTTCTGATCTTTTGCTCAGTGCTATCTATGGCTTAAGGCTGAGAAAAAAACTAAAAGACAGAAATAAGGAGACAGAGAAACTGGAGAGCCAGGATGGCCAATGCTGCTTAATCAGCAAAGACACTGGTCAGTCCAAGTCAGTGATCTTTATTGGTAATCAAGTGGGGTAAGGTGAGCTATGTGCAAGGACAGGACTACATCTGAGGGAGGATGTGCAGTCATGCAGTTTCTATGGCAACTAACGCAGGCAAGGCTTGTAAAGGAAAAAGACAAATGAATTTGGAACAGAATAGACAAAATATATGTTTATAATTAAATTCATATCCTTTTAGTGAAGGTTTTAATTGTGGAAACAGAATTTGGGTGCAAATTACTCTGACCTCAACATGCAGGCTTCGGCAGGACTCTCTTCTCAAAACAAGCCCACTGAGGGGTTAATGCTTTACAGGTTGCACTGCTTACAGCTTGCTTTGGGTTTGATCGATACTGTGGTCCCCTACAATGGGATTTCCCTCTTTTACACTCGGAAAAGGAAGGACAACTGCACATGTGTCAGAGTACCGTTCAAGGGAAGGTGTCGGGCCTTTCTGGGAGCAGAATGTAAAACATGGATGAATAGATGCATCGATAAATGATGAATGAATGCATAGCTCTGCACCATGAGGTGCAAAATGGACAAATGATTTTCTCCCTCATAGTGGAATTCTTGTATGAAGAAATTTCCCCTAATAAATATAAAGTATTTTACTTCCTAAAAAACATGCCACAATCTGGAGCTTTTTCTGCACTACTAATAAGACAATCTGAAAATTAGCTCCAAAAAATTTAAATCATCTATAATTTCTCCATCCAGAGATAACATTTCTTCAAATATTTTTTCTAAGCATGTATATAACCTTTAAAAAATAGGACTAGGTAGCTGGGTGTGGTGGCACATGCCTGTAATCCCAGCACACAGGAGGCTGAGGCAGGAGGATCACTGTGAGTTCGAGACCAGCCTGGGATGCATAGCTGAGTTCCAGGTCAGTCTCAACTACATAATGAGACCCTCTCTCAAAAAAATCCAAAAAAAAAAAAAAATGGGACTAGAGCCAGGGATTTAGCTCAGTGGTTCTGCCACCTGCCTGCAAGCACAAGGACCCGAGTTCAATCCCTGGTACCAAAAGAATAAATAAATAAAAATAGGACTATATGTACTGTATCTGTTGTTTTGATACCTGATGTTTTCACCAAGCATTACATTAGGCATATTTTACTATGCCATCAATCATTCTTTTAATGGCTGTAATATTCTATCATGGGCATATGAGAATTTTAAAATAATTCCATAGTATAATATTTAGGGTATTTTCTGGTATGCTGCTATACTGAACACTGCTATAAGTGATACTGAATTAATAATTGGAATCAGGAGGCTGTCCTAGTGGTGGCATGGCCTTTAATTTCGTGACTTTATAAGTTCAAATAAGTCATTTAAACTCTTAGGCCTTGATAATGTCTCTCTCTCTCTCTGTTTGTGGGGGGTTGATTGGCAGTATTAGGATTGAAACCAGGGCCTTCACACTGAGCTGCATTGGAACTTTTTATTCTGGGACAAAGCCTCACTAAGTTTCCCAGACTAGCTTTAAATGCCTGATCCTCTATCTCCGCTTCCCAAGTACTTGGGATTAAAGGAATGCATCACCATGCCAAGCTGCATCTTTAAAACAGGAAATTTTTTAATTTGTGCTGCCAAATTGCCTACCAGAAAGGTCACATCAATTGAACAAAGTATGCAGAACTGCTTGTTTTCATACAACCTTGCCTTCAGTGGACATGATCGATTTTTAAAACTTTTTGCAATTTCTTATTTATTTATTTTTTGGCATCGGGAATCAAACTCAGGTCCCTGAGCTTGCAAAGCAGGCTCCAGAACCACTGAGCTAAATCCCCGGCCCATAAACTTTTTTTCAAATTTTCTTTTTTTTTTGGTACCAGGGATCAAACTCAGGACCTTGTGCTTCAAAGGCAGGCGGCAGAACCACTGAGCTAAATCCCCGACCTGCAATTTCTTTTTTCTTTTCTTTTTTTTTCTTTTTCTTTTCTTTTTTTTTTTAGTACTGGGGATCAAACCCAGGTCCTTGCGCTTGCAAGGCAGGCAGTAGAACCACTGAGCTAAATCCCCAGCCCTGCAATTTAGTGAGTGACAAAATGCTATCTCATTTCTAAAAATTTGGTGATGTTTCATTTTCATTTGTACAGTTTTGACTTCTCATTTGGAGTTTCCCAGTGATCTAGCTGTACTTTGTTCACTTTTCTATTGCAGCATTTGTCTCTTAATGGCTTGCAAAAGTCTTCATATATTAACTATTTCCCCCACTATACATGATGGAAATATGGAAGTCATGTACATTTAAATTTGAAACAGTTTTTAAAACTTCTAAATTAAAAAAAAAAAAGATTGCAAGGAGTAGGTTTATAGCTCAATGGCACTGTGCCTGCCTGTCAGGTGCAGGGTCCTGAGTTTGATCCCTGGTACTGGGAAAAAAAAAAAAAGTAGGGCAGGGGGTTTAGCTCAGTGGTTCCAGCACTTACCTTGCAAGCACGGGGGTGTGAGTTCAATCCTAGAAAAAAAAAAAAAAAAAAAAAAAAGAGTGTAACAGACAATCTTTGCTAATCCCAAACAGAACAGTTTTAAAAGATCCTACACATTTAAAAATGATCATTTTGAAATCATACAGCACAAGACCCAGCAAATAGTAAGGGATATAACATTAATAATGACAATAATTAAACAAGTGTCTTTAGACAAAACATATATCCAGCTCCCTTGTCACGTGTTCCTTAAACAACAGTTAATTGTTGCCCCATTTTATCCTTTAGGATGTTCTACTAAATAAGAAAAAAAAGAGAATTATTTCTCCAATAAACCCGAGAAAGGGAAAAGACTTTAAAGAATGAAGAGAGGGGAGAGGGAAGCAAACTCACCACGTTTGGAATCCAGGACCCTTGTCCCTCAGTGGCAGAGCTGGAGTCTTGCAGCTGGGAACACTCTCTCCTCCATGGGGGAGATCTAGCATCAGGCAGAAGGGACACAGCGTCAGGAAGGGCCTGGGAAGTGGGCTTGGGAAAAGCTCATATTTTATTCTAAGGTCAAAACCTAAAGCCAGGGGCTTGCTCACCCCACAAGCTCCCTTCTAGTTCTCCGTATAAACAAACAAGCAACGCCCTGCCTGTCCATCCCTGATAAAGGAATAGACTAAAGAGGCTCCCTAAAAGTGAGGGAACCACAGCGTGCTGCAGAGGAACCACTTGCCCTTAGCTCCCCTTTTCCTCCAGCACTAACTGCCAACAGGGACTTCCTAGGATAGGACTGATCCTATCACACCCTTTCTGGAAAAGCTGTTCCTCCTTACTTTTCAAATCAGAGTGAATTAGAAGACTGGCTTCAAAGGTACCACGAATTAGCCAGTTCTTTAACTTGCCACCTTTATCTCTAACTACACCTTAACATATGCTTTCTGACAAGCAAACTTGCTGGCTGTCATTCAGCATGTGATAAACTCTTTCCCGCCTGTCTTGCTTTCATAATATCAAAAAATTTATATTCATAATATCCATAATTGTATACAATGCATTATATACATCTATGTGTTTTGGACTTTACAGAGATACATCCCTGGTATGGAATTCCCTCTGATTTCCTTTTTCTTCTCAACATTAGTTTCTGAGCCTAGCAGGTTCCTGTGGTGACACACACTATGTCCCTCAGCTCCCTCATCTTTGGTGCAGCTGAGTCTTGTAGACAAGCTGTCAGATGACAGCTCATAGGCCACAGCATTTCTTTGCTTACCTGTCTTAGGCTCTCTACAAAGCCTTAGTAGGCCTGTGGGCAGCCCAGTAGTTCACCAAGGTTAATATCCAGGGGGCGTCAACTCAGAGCGGGGAGTCAGTAGCGACAGTTCTGAGACAAATGCTAAGTGACTCCCCAGAGAGTTCCCAGTGGGACTGAGCCACTGTAGCCCACACTTGGAAGTAGCTCAATAATACACATTATATCAGATTGTCTTTCTTTTTTTTCTCACTTCCATTTCTGCTTCCTGGGATCACCTCCTAAATAAACCCTTGCACTGAAGGGCTTGTCTCAGTCTGCTTTGTGAGAGTATAAATCAGGACATTGCAATTCATCCAATGAATAAGACCCTGGGTTCCATCTCTATCACCACAAAAAAGAAAAAAAAATTAATCCAGGTTGCCTCACAGAAATAACAGTTTTGTCCCCTGTGTGTTATTTATGTGCTTTTGTTTTTACAAACTACTGCTCTGAAATTTATGACAGAAACATTTCCCAGGTCATGGTTCCAAGAGTTCCTCAAGAGCAGCAGTTCCAATGGCCCACAAACTTAACTGAGACCCTTCTGGAGGTCCACCAGGCAGGTCAAAACCATGTTCATGCTTATTGCCTTTTTCACTGTGTTGATATTTTCAAGGACACTGCAAAATCCTGACAGGTAATACAATTGGTGCTTTAATACACATCAATGAGTAGCACCAAACTACAGCAAACATTACTAATTTTGTTAAATCTCAATCCTTGGAAATCTATCTTTCACTATTCTATGGAACACCTGCCTTGCAAGTGCAAGGTCCTGAGTTTGATCCCTGGTACAAAAAAAAAAATTCTGTGGGACAAAATGGGAATGATGCAAAAGCCGTACTACTGCATATTAATGTGTGATGACTACAGTGACTGAGTCAGGAAGTGAAGCAGTCACTAAGCTCATGGAGTAGAGGGAATGGGGAAGGAGATGTTGGCAGAATCCCAGCAGCAGGTCCTGGCCTCCTGTGAGCCACTACAGCACAAGACAAAAGAACAAAGAAATAAAAGGAGACAGAAAGAAGAAGATGGGTCTTGAGATCTGATCACTGTTGCTCTGGGCAACAAAGACAAAAGTCCCCAAGCACATCCAGTATTTATTGAATAAATTCATGCGGAGGAATAGAGAGCTGGGTATGTTTTGAAGTCATCTAGTGCAATACTGCTGAACCCTTGGCATGATGGCACCAGGCAGGGCTGTTAGGGAGTAAGCACTGCTTATCTTGCTTGGATAGAACAAGCAGGTTCTGAGACAGCGGGCAATTAACAAACAACCTATCACATCAGAGAGAAGCCATAATTTAGGGAAAGGATTTTAACTGGGCTCACACTGAGCTCAGCTATATGTAACTCAGCAGAGCCCTGCCACTTCAGAAACGAGGGCCTAGGTTTCCATGGCAGCCATTGTGGGAGGGGCTACACTCACCCAGTCCACCATCTGCCATGCCCATTTGAGTCAAGTAAAGCTTCAATGTGACTCCTGATATGAAACAATATAGCTGAATTATGAAAGCAAGAAGCAAGTGCCACTCATAGTCCACTAGTACTGGGCAGGGATGTCTCCTACAATGGAGAGGACTACTGATATGCTGTTGGTTTTTCACACTCTGGGACCTGGCAGATATTTTCTCCTCAGCCACAAAGCTGCATCTGTTGTTTCAAGGGGCGGGGTAAGGGGACAACAGTGTTTATTCCCCATTATGAATATAATTATTTTGTACTGTAAATATGTACTAATAAAAACTTTTTTAAAAAAGAGTAAATATGGGGCCAGGGATTTGGCTCAGGGATTTGCCTGCCTTGTAAGCACAAGGGCCCAAGTTTGATCCCTGGGACCAAAAAAAAAAAAAGAAGAAGAAGAAGAAAAAAGAGTAAATATTCCTAAAACATATATCTAGAACTAGTATCAACAGGTTGTAGATTATAACATACCATGTTCCAGAGTGGTTGCACCAATCTGTAACTTTATGTTCATTATTAGTATTTTATTATTTCCTCATGAAGCACTTTAATTCAGTCAGAAAATTTAAACCACATATAAAATGGATTTTTTTCTGAAATGTTATTTTTGAGCTTCTAATTCCATAAGTGAAAAAAATAGTACATAAGCTTTCCTGCTGGTGGGGCACGATACCCACACCCAGTTTAAAGTTGCTTTGGCACATATTTCAGGGAATTCAGTCCATGGTCAGCTGGATCCAAGGCAGAAACATAATAGTGGAAGGGGATGGAGGAGAAAAGCTGCCTACTTCACGAACACCTGGAAGCAGAGAGAGAGGCAGGAGCCCACCTGGAGCCTCCAAAGGCCCCCCAGTGACACACCAACCCGGTTCTACTCCTAACAGCAAGTTTAGCTTTGAACTCATCAATGGATTAATCCACCTTTCAAAAACTCCACCTATGAAAGCATGAAGCTGTGGGGGAACATTCTAGATCTAAACCATAAGAGAAACAGACAGAGCCATAGATATTACGCATAATTCCAGACTCTTGTGATATCCTATAATATTTTGGCCCATATGCTTCTACATCTTTTTTCCCAAAAAATTTAAGCCATGCTACACATCAGAATAAATAAACTGGCTGGGCGTGGTGCTGCACACAAAGCATGAAGCTGTGGGGGAACATTCTAGATCTAAACCATAAGAGAAACAGACAGAGCCATAGATATTACGCATAATTCCAGACTCTTGTGATATCCTATAATATTTTGGCCCATATGCTTCTACATCTTTTTTCCCAAAAAATTTAAGCCATGCTACACATCAGAATAAATAAACTGGCTGGGCGTGGTGCTGCACACCTGTAATCCTAGCACTCAGGAGACTGAGACAGGAGGATAACCAGGAGTTCAAGGCCAGCTGAGACTACATAGTTCAAAGCCAGCCTAAACTGCATAGTGAGACCTGTCAAAAAAAAATTTAAGCCATGCTACACATCAGAATAAATAAACTGCCTGGGCGTGGTGCTGCACACCTGTAATCCTAGCACTCAGGAGACTGAGACAGGAGGATAACCATATTTTTAAATTTTATTTTTGGGGAAGCTTATAATCCTTTACTCCTTAACCACAGGTCAAATACACATAATAAATCATGCTGTGCTTTAAAGGAAGACAAAGAACTCGACTGCCAGTTAAACCTGGTTCATTTAATTTGAATGCTTACCTCCATCCCCTAAAGTCCCATCAAAATGAAAAAGACAAAGCCTGATTGGGCAAGCTGTGAAACAACTGTGAAGTAGAAATGTCAGTGCGTTTTTTCAACGAAGAGCTGCAGAAGAGTGACTAGTATCTGATCTGGTGAAAACAGAAACTAACCCAGTTTTGTGCTGTTTGAGGAGCATCAACAAAAGGAGAGCTGGGTCTCAACTGAGAGCCCTCCAGGCTTGGAATGGGTGGGGTGGTAAAGACAAAGCCTGATTGGGCAAGCTGTGAAACAACTGTGAAGTAGAAATGTCAGTGCGTTTTTCAACAAAGAGCAGCAAAAGAGTGACTAGTATCTGATCTGGTGAAAACAGAAACTAACCCAGGTTTGTGCTGTTTGGGGAGCATCAACAAAAGGAGAGCTGGGTCTCAACTGAGGGCCCTCCAGGCTTGGAATGGGTGGGGTGAGGGATGGCTGTACCTCATTGGGTGGTAAGATTAAATTAGTTCAAACATCAAGTATTTAGAACAGGGGCCTGGGATTTAGCTCAGTGGTTCTCCCGCCTGCCTCACAAGTACAAGGTCCCCAGTTCAATTCCGGGACTGAAAAAAAGAAAGAAATTAGAACAGAGTTTCACACTGATAAACTGTGGCCATTATTGTTATTTGAGAAAAGACTCCATCCAACTAGAAAGCCAGAGACCAAAATAAACAAGAATCTAGGACGCAAAAGAAAGCAGCAGAAAATTATAGCTAGTTTTCTCATAAAGACAAAATAAGATTCAATTCCCAGTACTGAAAAAAAGGCAAAATAGGAGAAGAATGTGAGCCCTTGAAGATACCAAGACCAAAAGACCTCGAGGCTACCAAAAAGGAAAGTCAGGAAACAAGGAAAAACTACTGGAGATTAAAATGTTTGTAGTAATGGGGCTGGAGGTGTAACTAAGTGGTAAAAAAACAAAACAAAGCAAAACAAAATATTAAATAGAAGAGGTAGAGGATACAGTTCAGGAAAATGTCTAATAAACAAAACCAAGAAAGGGAATATGAGAGTCAAGATTCAAAAATAAGGGAGCTGATTACAAAGACTTTTCCAAAAATTGAAGACTGTATTTACTGATTTGAAAGAGCCATTTAGTGCCCAGCACAATGAATGAAAAAGGTTAATAGGACTCATTATTATGAGCTCCAAACACCAAGATTAAAGCAGGAGACATGCCTATAATCCCAGCAGGCTGAGGCAGGAGGATTGCTGTGAGTTCAAGACCACCCTGGGCTACATAGTAAGTTCCAGGTCAGTCTCCGCTACATAGTGAGACCCTGTCTCAAAAAACAAATAAACAAACAACAACAAAAAAACCAAAACAAAGCAGTGGAAACACCCTATATTGCCATAGAAAAAGGAACAATTTACATAGAAAGTAACAAATTGAAATAAATCAGACTTCTCAAGTCCTTCAGCCTATGAGAACCTAGATGATAACGGATCAATCCCTTTAACATTCTGAAAGAAATAAAAGCCATTTATTGGACAAGTAAGAGCTCAAAAATTTGCTTTCCATGAAGCCCTCGGGGACTTCCTGGAGAACATTCTCCTCCAACATGACAGCATAAACTGAGAATGGAAAGACGCGAAGTCTGGAAATGGGATTTGGCACAGGAGAGAGAGAAGAGAAATCCCCAACGTGTTTAGGGGAAATCCGTACAGAACTGTGTGGCAAGGCCAAGGAAACAGTTTGGAGACAGAGGAAGACACGTCTAAGGAGGAATGTTACCAAGAAAGAAAAAGACACTGATAGATCACCTGACTCATAAAACCGCACTGGGAGATGCTTTGTAGTACTGCTAGAGAAGTGCGCAGAAGAACTGTCTAGATGCAGAGGGGATTAAGAGAATTTTTAGAAAGGCAATTTTTGGAAAAAGTTTTTCAAAAAATAACTATAATCTTAGCGCATACCTCCAGTGTAAAAATATTCCAAAGTTTTATTAATATAAACTCTGACCGGTGATTCCATTAGCCAGGGAATTCTGCAGCCTGTCCAAGAGCACACTGAAGGTCACAACAGAGAGAAAATATATATACACTCATGTAAGAACATGAGGGGATCTTGATAGGCAGTGTTCAGCCTCCTTGGACATTTCCATGGTTCCAACCTCCTTTCTGATAAGGAATCCCCACGCAGGACCTCCGTCCTGAGCCTCTCTGGGGTCTGCTAATAGCTTACTGAATACTTCTTGCCTACTGTATTCTAAGTACAATCCCCTCCTCTACCCCTCAACACACAAACTGCAAATTTATGCACCACCCCTCCCTGCTCCAAGCCAAGTCACCACACTTCCTCCAATCCTGCCAGTCACTCGGTGGCACCGGTTTCCCATTCTTCCAGTTTGGCTTTTCCAACCCTTCCTTCCCTGTATCTAATCTGTTTCGGTTGGCTTCCTGGAGCCTTCCAAAGCCCCTACCTGTCTCAACCTATAATCTAGTCCAGAGTTTATATGAACTTTATAAATTGCACAATGTGACACAACTGTAAATTACCAGTATTGTGTCAAGATTTCTGCAACTGACTCTGGTTTGGTTATTTTTATAACCATCCAATTAACATTTTTTTATAGATTTTTTTTTATTTTTTATTTTTGGGGTACCAGGGATCAAACTAGGGACCTTGCGCTTGTGAGGTAGGTGGAGGAATCACTGAGCTAAATCTCCAGCCCTAGAATTTTTAAAATAACATTTATTGTACTTTTGACTGGTAAAATATATAATATTCATGGCGGAAATTTCAGAAAATACAGAAAGGCATCAAGAAGACAAAAATAATCCTTAGGGCTGGGTATGTTGGCACACACCTGTGATCCCAGCACTCAGGAGGGTGAGGGAGACAGATCATTGTGAGTTCAAGGCCAGGCTGGGATACATAGTGAGACCCTGTCTCAAAAAACCCAAACAATAATAATAATAATAATAATGATGATGATGATGATGATGATGATCCCTACTATTAAAGCAGCTTATATTTAATGATTTTGGTATGTGTTGTATATTTTGCCTATTCTCTTTTCTATGTGTGTATAATCTTTTTTGAAACCATATTGTGATTAAATGTATATGCCTCTTTGTAGCTTTCTTATTTAACATTCTAAAAAATATTATGGCAAGGAACATTCTTCTATGTCATTTTAATGGCTACATAGAATTCCCCATCAATCATCATATCAACCCCCTACTATAAAGATTTTGGCTGTTTCCTGTTGTTTCTTCTTAGGAATAGTGCTATCTCTGATTATTATCAATAGTTGGTGCAGGGCTGGGGATTTAGCTCAGTAGCATGGCACCTGTCTCATAAGCTCAAGGTCCTGATTTGATCCCTGGTACCAAAAAAAAAAAAAAAAGTTGGTGCAAAAAAATTACCATTTCAACCATTACAGCACAGCCCAAGAGTACTAATGTTGCTGTGCAACCGATCTTTAGAACTTCTCTATCTTGCAAAATAAACTCTATACCCATTGAACGATAACTGCTCCCACCTCATGCCTCTGGAAACCACCATTCTACTTCGTTTCTTAAAGTTTAGGTACGTCAATTTAAATGGAATCATTCAGTGATACCTTTGCTTATGGTAGTGCTTTTTTTTTTTTTTAAACCAGGTATTGAACTCAGGACATTGCACTTAGCAAGGCAGGCACAGCACCATTTAGATAAATCCAGTAGTGCTTCCTTGTAAGGCTTTTGGAATCTAGTGCTAAACTACACACCAGGGAGGATGTGTCAAATCAGGCTGGAAGTGTATGCGGGTCCATCTGCAGCTCCCACTCACTGGCATCAGTTTCAATCCTTGACTTTGATAGAGGAACAAAGGTTGTAGGCCTGAACACCTGGGTACATCATTGTCCTGTGAATCTTGGCTAAAACATTTGCTCTGATCTTACTAGCTGTGAGACCTTGGACAAGTCCATTAACTTTTCAGTGCCTCTATTTCTTTATTTGAGAAATGGAAGTAAGACTAGCTCGTTACTATTCATGTATAGGGCCGGGATTTAGCTCAGTGGTTCCATCACCTGCTTCCCAAGCCCAAGGACCTGAGTTTGATCCCTGGCACCAAAAACAAACAAAAAGCAACTATTCACGTATATATTATACCTACTTTTTTTTTTTTTTTTTTTTTTTGGTACCGTGGATCGAACTCAGGTCCTTTCCCTTGCGAGGCAGGCGGTGGAACCACTGAGCTAAATGCCTGGCCCTATATTTTTATGTGGAATAAATGAGTTAAGAAAGCACCATGAATAGTGAGTGCCTGGAATATAGGAAGTCCAAAAGAGAAATAGCTATTATTTTTTGGTCAATCTTTGATAATCGAATAAATGGAAAATGAATGATAGCGACTCCAATTTGCATCTCCTCAATGACCCATCGGTTATGTTTCTCTGTGTTTATACTGGGTGCACTGTCAAAATCTCCTCTTTCCCTTCCCTTCAAAGCACTGTGAAGAACAGTTTTGATGGATCCTCCTAACAAGCTCCCGAAATAAGTTGCAATCATCAATCGTCAGCTTTCAAATTAAGAAACTGAGGCTCAGAATTCTAATGCCTAGCAATTCCAAGCCTAGTATTCAGATGACACTTTAAAACCTAGCGGCTGTTCCCAAAAGAACAGCGGGATAGGGCCTGGGAGCTGGGTGTCGTAACCCTTCCCTCGCTGGGCCCCACCCCTCCAGGCCCCGCCCGGCCCTCCTTCCCCTCTCCCCAGGGGCCGGCCGCCGAGCTCTCTGCGCAGGCGCAGCAGTTCATGTGGGCGGGGAACCTCATTACGACCCCCCCCTCCCCTTCGCGGCCCGCCCAGTCCGAGAGTGACAGGCTCGGCGCTCCGGGTCCCACGGAAGGGGAGAGACCGGGTGTCCCTTACCGGGGCCGGTGTGCCCTTCGGCGGAGGCCCCAGG